CATCACTTATACCAGTTTTTGTGTTTTCACTTTCGCGTCATGGGAATTGCAGAGGTCCCTCGTTCCGAGTATAAGTGATAAGCGTTTCCGACATAACAATCAGGGACGACCAGATACAAAAAGTAGCATTAAAAGAGCCCAGACAATAAGCATTCAAACGACAAGTTATAACACACATCTTTCATTGTCCTTCCGAATTTTTTATTGATGCAAATATGATCTACCTGGTTCTCTGTGGTGTAGTCCGATGAGGTCCATTTATCTTTGTGCATACGTTTGTGTGGAAATATTGTGCCACCTATGACCAATTCGTTGAATGCACACAGATTTGCAAATCTTTCCCCATTTTCGTTTCTCTCTCTCAGACCATGTCGTCCCAGGATATCTTCATATCCAGTGTTGTCTATCTTGACTTCAGCGTTTAGATCTCCCATTAGAATGGTGAGGTCCTTTCTTAGGCACTTCTCTATGATTGATTGCAGCCGCTCATAGAATTGATCTTTAATTTCGTGGTTCCTATCATCTATGTGGGCATAACACTGGATAACATTCATTTTGGTCCCCTCCTTTGTTTGGAGTGTTGCTTTGATGATTTTGGATCCGTGAGATTTCCATCCTACATGTGCATTTCATGGTTCTTTGGACAGCATTGGATTAACTCCCTGGTTGTGTGGAAAGTTTCTCACTTCGTGACCGGAGTATAGCGGCATCTCTTTCGAATCTAGCCTCTGCCGTCCAGCGTGGGTGTCACAACACTTTAAATGAAGACTTAACTCCCAGGACAGAGTTTAAATGGTTTGAATTACTTTTCTGGTTATGGTTTTTTGGCGAGTTATTTTTCAACGGGATGGGGTCGCTAACTTCATGCTCAACCGTCCTCCTTCACTCGGGTTCGGGACCAGAAGTAACTCTGGAAGAGCTACAGGCGTAGTTACATACAATACTAGGTCACCGAGAAGTACATTTTCAATAATACTCAATTTTTTCTATTAGATCTTTGTTAATAATTTTCTCAGTGGGTACAGATTCTGTTTACAGAAATTCATCTGTGAACTCTGATAGACACATCATAAATTCATATTAACTAACGCCACAATTCATTTACCATTTTCTAAAAAATTGCCCACAGTTTTACTTATGAGGCATATGTCACTGATTAATGTGATATTCACAGCGATATTACATATAGTTGCAGCATGTATTCAGAAAGCGAATAGAAAAGCTATCAAAGTCAATTATTTCTCAAATAACTTTTCTTTCGCAGGTAAGTTGCATATTAATATTCCGTTTCTGTCAAAAATGACGATACTTACAATGGATGGAAATGTTTATGGTTGCGTACAAGAGACTTATATGATGTTCAAAAACAGTTTGACACATAATGGCCTCCACCTGTACTTACTAATCAACTATCAGACATCCTTATTCATCAACATTCTTTAGGATGATAAATAAAATGTTAAATTTTGTAAAAGCCCATTTCTGTTTCAAAATTTGACAATGGTCTTTCTCAGACTTGATAAATGGTGCATTTTACTTGCTTGAATTACATTTATACAAATAAATACATTGAAGTTAACTTATTATTCACTGAGGTGATGAACAACTACGTCTGACTATTAATAAACTGGGTTAAAAGTTATATAATAATAATAATTATTATTATTATGCACAACCATCTTATGGGTACATAAGTGTTGTGAAGAAACCATTTCGGGTTGCCTCAAAAAATGCAAAAATACACAATTTTCAATAATGTCAGCATTATACTTGCCATTTTAAAAAAAAAATTTGGAGCAATAATAGTAGAATATTAATAATAATAAATCGGGTCTGTGCAGTTGAGAAGAATATTGAATTGAGTTTAAAGAAGGAAATGGAGAAAATAAGGGAATAGAAACAAAGGAGACGTGAAATACGCAAGCAGTCTAATAGGCGTGTTTACGAACACAGAACAAGAATAAACGACTGTGTGTATCGTTAAATTAGTAACAAAAAATAATTAAGAAAAAATAACTTATAATTGCAGTAAGATATAACGCTAGAATAAATGTTTGTGCAGTTATACTTTAGAGTGATGCTATGAAAGTTACAATTAAATGAAAAGGATAATAAAATATCAATATGTATGAGTCATATATGCATAGTGAAGATAAAACGGGTCTGAGAAGTTAATTTAAGTGTAATACAAGTTATTGTCTTAATTACAAACTTCGTAATCTTAAGAATAATATTTATTTAGAGAGAAAGAAGAGAGAAAACAAGTGAACACTTAGTGAAAAGTTTTGATCCATGATAAGAATAATAATTGTGTAATGAATATCAACCTCAGAAGGAAACCAGCAATTGAAAAAATAAAATAAAAATCCGTTAAAGCACTCGGATGAATACATTTAGATTTATGTAATAGTATACAGAGTGAAACCGGATATTAGTATAAATATTTGTGCAATAATGATTAAGATTGATGCCATGAAAGTCAAAATTGATTTCAGAGGACAATCTGGAGTTAAATATGTTTAAAAGGATAAGGAGATAAGCACAAACATTACGGAAATTGATGTGTGATGGCAAAAATGCTGTTAACAGTTGATAAATGATGACATCCATGGTGTTTGAAAACATGACACACGTGCGCAAGAACCAACGGCTTAACTTGTTGTTCATGTGAGAAAGTGTCCCGACAAATCGAAAAACGACTTACAAACGGATAGATTAGTGTTAAATCTACATCCGCTACTAAAATTGCAATGGATGATGAATTGGATAGGACGTACTATGCGGGAACCATCGAATTTAATCACAAGATGGACTTCAACTTGGAACTTCTAGTTTTAATTAAATACATATGGCCTTGCCGACTGTGCTCAGACATCAAGACTGTAAGTTACACATGATAACAACTGGAAGGGAAAGAGCTATATACGGTCAATCAGTGTCTTTGTTCAGTTGTGTATGGCCCGAAGATGGATCAAAGGCTTAAGTGAGCTTACAGTAAGATCTTTTAAAAGACTTCTGTGCTGTCATAGGTATCAATCTGATGTTTTCTAACATCTGAAATTGTGAAAATTATTCGATTTTGTGGTCCATCTGCGAATACGCACCAAAATTTTCTTTTGAAGTCAAAGATGAAAAATTGTTTCTATATTTACAGCGTGGCGGAGTAAAAGTTTTCAAAATTATTCGAACACCGACCAGTACATCCCAAAGTTTGTCTTATATGTACTGTAGCATGATTATCTTAAAAAGCTCCTCAGCCACGGTGAACGCACGCTTTTAATTTTTGAGTAAGCAAACCACTCAACTCTTTCTTCAATCAAAACCTTCCAAATGGGGTATTTTTAGGAATTAGCTTGTATTTCTGAATCATTTTGAGCACAGACATTTTAACACTTTTTAGTTACCCTATTTTATTTACTTCTGAATATTCAAGTGAACTCTTTAAGGTTGTACAGTGTGTTAAGTTATTTAACAATTGGATGTTAATATCCATCCTTGTGTGGATGCAATGATTTTTCTCTTTCGATTCCTTTATGTATTCCTACTATAATGCTCAATGCATTTCAAAGTTTCTACTGTAATTATGACACCTTTGGAAAAGGCGAATCAAGCTCCGTATTTACAGGCCGTAGGAAATCATTTAGGATGATGTGTCCTTTTAGTCATATTTATGCAAGGCAACTCAGTAACTTATGCAAGTTGAAATTCTATCAATGCAATACATCCTAGGTCAAGGTAATAAAAAGGTGATTATAATTATCTGTCATTGTTATCAGTATCCCCCTAAAGTATCGCGAGTGATTCTGAGAGGATCCTCTAGAATACAGAAGTTTTCCAATTAAGTGGTTTTCGGCATATTGACTACGCTGGGCTACAGTCTATCCTTAGTGGTGTTTGTTTTTGAATTGTTTACGTCAACATTACTGGTAATTCTGGAGTTCAAACTCATCTCCTCAAACACTCAATTAAATGGTTTTCTGTTTAATGGTAAGATTCATCCCTAGCAATATTTTATAAAACTTGGCGTCATTCATCACCATTTTGTCAAGGCTGATGTTAGGTTTTAGTCAACAAGACTAGTCATCTAATCGAGAGTGATTTCTGAGTACATTTATAGGATTGAATAGCTTCACATAGACTTGTCTTGGAAAGACTTTATTAATACGAACAAATCGAACTCTGAAGATACGAAGATCCTTTACGGTTTTCAACCTGGATGAGAGGGACGAGGGCGAAAAATCGTTGAAATAGTTAAAAGTTTAACCCACGGTACAAATTTGAGTGTTTCAGGCGTAGATGTGTAATAAGTGGGCCGCATCAGAATATATGGCCAAGAGGTATGAATGAGCGCATTGTCGAAACTAGCAACGTAGGTTTGATAGTCAAATGGTTAAGAGGCCGCTCATCTGAGGAAGTTATTTGTTGTCACTGTAATCCGTTTCACTATTTATTCACAAGATCAACCCCCGTAGCTGAAATATGGACGATCATTATTGAACGTTAGAATACACTTCTGCAGCCAATTCTTTGGTTTGTCAAACCGAAAAAATCAGCAGCTTAACGCCAGTTCAATTTTACTGTCAACAGTAACAGGGAACAACTGCTTATCAGACAGTAAATTACGGTAGTCCTACAAGTTGTTATTGTCAATCAGATCTATATATCTGAACTTAAATCCACGTTGGAATAGAAAACTAATTTTTATAACCCAATAAATATCCAGCCTCAGACTGCTTAAAATTCTGAAGGATCCCGATAGATTCCATCGGAATTTAATAAAAGTATAGTTGGGAAACTTGAAAAGCAAACATAAAGCCATTAATCATAATAATAATAATAATCCTTCCAAGAATTTACGTGGTTCTCCATCTTTCATCATCGCTATCGTGAAGTTACAGTGTAAGCTTTAAAAATTTGAATATTTTATGAAGTAATTCGAAGACCTGATCAAATCAATCCTCTTTTGTCCCTTTCTCAGGTTTTAGACGTCATTGGAAACCTTTAAGGCGCGTGGATCTTAAGCCTGAGTTCGTTTCAGAAGCGCGGTAATCGAATGTTTTCCCTGTGTTCGCTTTGCCAGTTTGTACATGGTTATATTGTCGTAATTATTAACTTTGATCATTATGGTGACTGCACTGTCTCGAAGTGTTATGATCAAAATGGAAGGTAGCTTAGGGGTTTCTCCCTCTGTTGATCAAAATGTCCACGATTCACCCACTCAGAAACCAAATCACCGACCTGTGATGGCATGTAATGATATGAATAGATTTGGTCCTCAGAATAGTACAGACAACACTTCAAGTTGTTCTTTGTCTAAAGCTCTTCCGATGGATAGATTAGTTACAAAGGTTGGATTTGCAAACTTGCCCAACCAAATACACAGAAAAGCTGTTCGGCGGGGTTTTGTGTTTAATCTTATGATTACCGGGAATTCTGGGCTTGGAAAGTCCACTTTCATTAACTCCTTATTTTGCACGGATATGTACAACGCTGATTACCCTGTGAGTAATTATCTTGTTCACCTATCTTTACACCATGGCTTATAGTGATTGTTAAGTTTGATTTATATTAACATTCATCCTATCACTATACGATGTCTAAACTTCTAAAGCAAACTTAGTTTAATTTCAAATTTCTTCATTTTTACTGGGATCTGTTGATAGGTATCCGCATTTCAATGGGGCCTTCCTATGGAAGTAGTGAATGAATTAAATGGAAAAATTCTGCATTATTTTGATAATCCGCCTATGTAGTAAGAATATATCACTCTTTGGTAGTGAAAAAAAGTTTGGTAAAACGGATGAGAATTATTAGTACCAGATATCATACGTTACAACTGACTCATTGGTTCGCTACGGTTTTTAATTCTAAAATTGCCAGTCTAGTCGTCTAAGGATTATATCAGACCAGTAAATAAAGAGGAAAATTTTAAAATAAGTTCCTTGGCAGAAATCGGCAGTTCGAATGAAACTGTCAACCTATATAAAACCGAGAACGAAGTACTCCGTGGTCACTGCTAAATGGTCAGACGTGTCTGCAACAGATTATCACCGACCTAAAAATTTTTTATCTGAATAGTGTATTTATGGATTCCTCGGTTGTAAAGCCCTACATTTAAAATACCTTTGTTTGCGTCTTTTAAGAGGTGATGACCAGAAACTATTATTTTCAAAGGTTCTATTTAAAGGAAATGACTCTAGGTTGACTGGTCGTTTTTACCGCAACATTCAAGAAAATTAAGTGGCTCAGAAGCAATTAATATCTCAAGAAATTTTAGAAAAGGTTAGCTTCTGTCTTATCTTATTCAAAAGTTTCGTAACTTTCAGATATTTATATTGGAATACATCTATATACATATGCTCTGCTATTTGCTTCACCACAGAAAACGTACTTAACTGTTATTTATTATACTACATAAAATAAAAGTCTGAGGTCTTAAACTCGTATATTCATGTTATAACGACGAAATGTGATTTCTGGAAATAAAATATATGTGAGTTCTAGCAACTTGGTCATGTGTCCTCAAAGTATTGTCGGTGTGTAACTGAACTGTTGATTTGTCGGGACTGATGTTAGGAGTGGGACAGTAAAAATGATTGATTATATCGTAAATCTTTACTAGCTAAATTATTTATAACATTCGTCATGTTTTTTTCAGACGCTGGTTAGGATTAGCATAAAAACAAATTAGTTAATAGTTAGGGATTTCCAGAATAATACTTGACGTCAGTTCGTTTTATGTAGACTAAATGTTACAAGCTCACGAAAAACTTTGACCTGTGTTTGAAGTTTCTTTTACATTAATACAAATGTTATTTATAGCCTTTTGAAGTCAATCAAAATTCTGTTGTACTTTTCTCGCAGCGTGTACTAATCTGCTATTTCAAGGTGAAAAAATCAAGTGGCTTGGAGTTTTAAAAGTTTGAATGCCTTATTAAATGTTGCGTAGTTCGTCATTTTGTAAACGGGACCTTTGTATTCTACTTAGGACACCACAATCAACCAACAGTTGCTATTTATTATTTGCTAATAGAATAAAATGAACGTTTTGAGTTACTTAATATTTATTTAAAAACTTTATGTCAGCTATACCTCTGTCCAGCGCTTTTGATAAGTGATGTTCAGTATTTCTTACTACCCAACGCAATGTGTTTTAGTGTATTCTTGATTTTCAATAGTAACAAGGTTGTATCATACCTCTTATTTAGTATAACATATATGAATTCACTAGTGTCTCTGTTTTATTACCCCTATCAAAATGTGTAATCACTTTTAAGGGTCCATCAAAACGATCCTATTCTTCTGGAACTTGTGTGGATTCAAGGACGTTCGCATTGAGTGAAGCCAACGTTTCTCTCATATTGACCATAATTGATACTCCAGGCTTTGGTAGTGAGCTAGATAATTCTGCAAGCTGGAAACCTCTAGTAAAACATATCGATTCTCGTTTCGAATCTTATCTTCGAGCTGAACTAAATGTCTCTCGTATAACAGTCGGATCTGGAGCAACATATCAACCAGGCCTACCTAATGACCAACGAGTTCATTTGTGTTTATACTTTATTTCTCCTAATGGGCATGGTTTGCATCAACTAGATATAGAAACACTCAAACAGCTACACAACAGAGTAAGTTAATTCATATCAAAATTTCGGGTTTTAGCTCACGTCAAAAAGTGCTCTCTTTTCGATCATGCCGTTTTATTCGCAATTTACTTTTTTATTATTGTGTAACCTAATGAGTAAAATATACACTTTAACTGAACTATAAGCATCAAATGAATTCATCAGGAAACTCCACTTGCTTCATGACTGTGTTTTAGCCTGTGCTTTAAATTATACTATAAATCGTGACGAACTTTACTACAGTCGTAACAAAATAGTAGCATTAACGAAAACATCTCTGAACTCACAAGAACTTTCGTTTAAAAATTAACAGATAATTTTGCAGTAGTTGGGCGCCGATTTAATGTAAGACATTAAAGAAGAAATTGTATCTGTAGAAATTTCAGCGATAAACTAAGTGAATCTAACGTTTTGCTTAACAGTCTGGTTCGAGTTTTTTTCAAGGAAATATAATCTAACATCAAAATTATCAAGATTTTTACAAATAGAATTTCCTCATTATCATCTTTGGACTCGTTCGCTAATTTTATTAGCTCGTTTATTTCATGGATCTTATAAAACTATTTAGTAGGTTTTAATGAAATTAAAATTTTTGGAAATCCAAGTGCTTATTGAAGGTTGTGTGCTTAGTTTTCTTGATCCAAAGTAAATTTATTCTTCGCAGTTTTTATCTCAGTCACTGCTAATAATCTTCGTAATAATAAGATTCGTTGTTTAGTTCGTGATATTAGTTTAAAGATTAGTGCTCTTCTTGGTGGTTTTATGTAAGATGTCTTATAATATGCAGTTTTATCTCAGTTGAAATATCTGGTACGCGTAAATTGAACTATGTAGTATCGTTGAAAATGTACCTTACAAGTTATTTCCTTATGACTATCATAATCAGATGAGTCACTTATCAGTCTTTACTTAAATATACCTGTATTTTACAATCCGTCTGAATAACATCCTCAAGTTCGATAATTTACTTGCACATTTGACAACTCTTAAGGAACTAAGTTCCTTCTGAAGATGCTGTTTCAAATTATGCTCGATATCCGCTACATTTTTTTACCTAGATAACCACTATTATTATTTTTATTTATTCTTCGCAGTTTTTATCTCAGTCACTGCTAATAATCTTCGTAATAATAAGATTCGTTGTTTAGTTTCGTGATATTAATTTAAAGATTAGTGCTCTTCTTGGTGGTTTTATGTAAGGTGTCTTATAATATGCAGTTTTATCTCAGTTGAAATATCTGGTACGCGTAAATTGAACTATGTAGTATCGTTGAAAATGTACCTTACAAGTTATTTCCTTATGACTATCATAATCAGATGAGTCACTTATCAGTCTTTACTTAAATATACCTGTATTTTACAATCCGTCTGAATAACATCCTCAAGTTCGATAATTTACTTGCACATTTGACAACTCTTAAGGAACTAAGTTCCTTCTGAAGATGCTGTTTCAAATTATGCTCGATATCCGCTACATTTTTTTACCTAGATAACCACTATTATTATTTTTATTTATTCTTCGCAGTTTTATCTCAGTCACTGCTAATAATCTTCGTAATAATAAGATTCGTTGTTTAGTTTCGTGATATTAATTAAAGATTAGTGCTCTTCTTGGTGGTTTTATGTAAGGTGTCTTATAATATGCAGTTTTATCTCAGTTGAAATATCTGGTACGCGTAAATTGAACTATGTAGTATCGTTGAAAATGTACCTTACAAGTTATTTCCTTATGACTATCATAATCAGATGAGTCACTTATCAGTCTTTACTTAAATATACCTGTATTTTACAATCCGTCTGAATAACATCCTCAAGTTCGATAATTTACTTGCACATTTGACAACTCTTAAGGAACTAAGTTCCTTCTGAAGATGCTGTTTCAAATTATGCTCGATATCCGCTACATTTTTTTACCTAGATAACCACTATTATTATTTTTATTGTTATCTTCATTATTGTTGACATATCAAATGCGAAAAAACCATCTAGATTAATGAAGCACAACTACTTTTCCACTATTCCCACACTTTTCGTCTCCCGATCTCATACAACCCTTTCAAACTACATCTATTATGTTTAGCTTCCCATTACAGTGGATATTATTTCCCGTTTTTTGCTTTTCATTATGCTAATCACACCTTTTAGTATCCTATAGTAAGATGTTCCGACTCCATCCAATACGCATGTCCCAGATCATACTAGGTAGCTGACTTTTGTGGTTTGTGTAACTAAAAATAGATAAAATCGTCAGGAATGTCTGTTACACCGTTTAAATTTATTATAAGCGACACAAACCCTGAAAATATGCAATATCCACATTTCAGTCGAAAACCATTGTCTAGGAAATTCATTTAATTGACCAAGTTAAATCATGATGGCAACCGTATAGAAAATATTAGTCACCATATTGTCACTTAAATACACCACATAAGTTTATTATTTTTAACTAAAGTCAATTTTATATTCCCTTAAGTTAACCTAATAACATCAAGTCTGAGCTATTTTCCGATAAACTGCACAGGCATAAATAATATTTGTTTTTTTCTTCTACTGGCATTTTCTTATCTGTGATATCAATTAAGAGATTTGTCTTTTCTTATTGTTATCCTGTTTGCTGTTTTGTTTATACGTATAATATTATCTACTGAAATGTGCTGATTACAGACGATTTTTCTAAATTGTACTTAAGTTGCATATTGTCCTCACTTACAACTGTTGGCACCTGTTTATAGACATATTTATGAACACTAAAGTTCCAATGTAGTCAGAAGTTTGTGTTCCACATGGTTCTGTCAATACTTAAAACATTGATAATTGACCCATCTTAATTCAAATGTGTTTGCAAAATTAATTTCATCGATCAAGTGAAGAGCTGACAGTCTGTTAGTGTAATTAAATGTTTAAAAATATTAACAAGATAAGAATCGAACTGACAAAAATAGGACATTTAATCTTAAGCAGAACAAAACCTGACACGTGTGGATCGGTTCAAGTTCTCATACAAAGACAGATAAACGTGTCATGGAAAATGCTAGAGAAGTAGAATTAGTAACATTTTCAATGGTAACCAAAAACACCGGGTATAAACAATATGATTCGAGATGAAAGAATGAATTCTTAGAATAAAAAATTATCCGTATTGGAAGGCGAAGTGTGAATACGTCTTACTCAATGCAATCGGTTCTGAGCCATATTACCTAACATATAACACTGAACGCATTTGTCGTGAGGACTCAAATCTAATATCCTTCATCTACCAACACGGTTCAGGTCAACGTCCAATGACTTTATAGACTGATTCCTCGTCTTGGATTGGCCACCTCTATTTGCTTTTTAACTTATTCCTGCGCCAGCAAACACCGCGCATCAAGGTCGGCGGTAGTTGGTCATACCTAATACATATCCTAACTAATTCAGTCGAAGAAAATCCACTACCTCACCAACCGATTTGCTATCCTTATTTCAGCGTTACTTATTTGGCGATTCTAAGATACCAGAGCAATGCTTCGCGGGCACTAGAAATGAATGAGATTTGAGACTGCTCAATGGAAAATGTCATTCGTTACATTGTTCATAACCAGAAAATATTTGTAAAAGATATTTTGGCCCACTATTGAACTGTATGTTCCGTTCATGAACACTACCTTATAAACACTAGATTATTATTCTAAACAGTTCCTGTTGTTTTGCATCTTAATTAAAAGTTAGAATATTGGATCACCTAAAACTGACTTTCAATTTTTAGCAGTCAGTACTTTATAACGTTAATTTTCATACACATAGTTCCCCTTATTATCTTAAATGTATGGATTACCGAAAATACATAAACAAGGTTATCCTCTTAGACCTATTTTGTCAATGATCAATTCACCATACCACAAAGTTGCACGATGGTTGGCAGATAAGTTAGAACCAGTGCGTCAACGATTAGCCACCTATACACTAAAGGATTCATTTGTATTTGCTGACAGCATGAATCACATAAATATTGCTGGTAAGTTTATGGTTTCTTTTGATGTAACATCTTTGTTTACAAAAATACCACTTCTTGAGACCATAGACATAATTTGTCAACATTCTGACATCCTACCTCTACCAGTACCAGAATTCAAACGACTATTACTCATTTGTACAAAAGATGTTCAGTTCCAGTTCAACGATATCATATACAAACAAACCGATGGTGTAGCGATGGGAAGTCCGTTAGGTCCTGTCCTAGCAGATATTTTCATGGCTAACCTCGAAAGAACCAAACTCAAACGAGCGATTGATGAAATGACGTATTATTCGAGGTATGTTGATGATACCTTCATCGTATGTAATAATAAACAACATGCAATAAATCTGCTAGAGTTTTTCAACGAAGCACATCCGAATATCCATTTCACTATGGAACATGAAAAAGAAAACAAGTTCCATTTTCTCGATATCGCGATGAAAAGAAGAAAAGATGGTACAGTTCAACGTTCAGTTTATAAGAAAGACACATGGAATGGTAGTTATCTTAATTTCAATAGCTTTTGTCCAATCAGTTACAAAAAGGCACTGGTCAAAACACTGTTTTACAGAACAGAAAGAATATGTACTTCCGATACACTAGAAGAGGAAGTTATGAATGTTAAAAAATGTTTAAAGAATAACGGATACCCACTGAAATTTATTGAGAAATACGGCAAATGTGAAGATAAAAAACCGAAAGAAATTACAGCAAATAAAAAGCCTATTTTTATTAAACTTCAATTCAAAGGTGACGATGTCACAGGATCAATCAATATGAGACTAAAAACTGCACTGACAAGAACCTATCCTGCAGCGAAATTGATTGTCCTGTCCAAAACAACATGTTCTTTGACACAATCAAAGGTCGACAGGTATCCCTTTCATGTTACCACCAACTGTGTATACAAATTTACATGTACCTGCCAAAGCAGTTACATTGGTAGAACAGAAAGGAGAGCCTACGTCCGATTCAAAGAACATATTCCTAAAAGTTTAAGATTAAATGGATTGAACTCATTCAACAGTGCTATCGCAAGACATCTCCTTGATACAGGACATAAAGCTGATATACTGAAGTCCTTCAAGGTGATTAACAAACAATCAAACTCGAACCTTTTGAAATTCGCTGAAGCGTTAGCAATCAAACGTTTAAAACCAGATCTATGTATACAAAAAGAGACAGTAATAAATCTTTCTTTACCCTGGTAACAATAACCCCCACTCTTTCTATTAATTTGCTCCTATTTATTTATTTATTTATTACGTCATTATTGCAACTCTTTCTGAAATATAAATTACATCATACATAAATGATTGATTTCAATTCATATTTTCTTTATTACCATTAATCTATTTTCATGAGTTCTAATCACTATTTCAATGTTCCAGGACTTTCCCTCTCTAACTTTATTTATTTATTCGAATCAAACATTTTATGAGCTTATTAACTCTATCTGAATCTTCGCTACATCATCATACACATGTATTGATCCTTAATCACACTCTTATGTATAAATATGTCAATATCTGTAATAATGTTGAATTTCAAATAATTTAGGTTGTAAGCAGCTGATGAGAACCTAACGAAATAAAATGAATTCATATTATTCTGCACCAATCTTTGTTCTTGCTCTATTTAAGGTTAATTTTAACAAATAATATAACAATAAGAACAGTAGAGACAAACAACTTATTTGTAATAATTCAATTGTTCACAACAACGTGTCATATAAATACTTACAATAATTAGTAAGGATAACACAATTTTTCAATCAAAGGGATTGATTGTGGCTAGAAGTGGGATTCAGTACATGCGTTTTGTTCTATTTGGGGCTCATCAGCTAAATGTACCCGCATCCAAATGTAAGTGTTCACTCCAGACCTCAGGTCATCTACCTTTCGCTTCAAACTTCGAATGCATTATCCCCTGGGGTACTGATAGTACTGGTAACCTCAGTCAATCTCTTCTATAAGAAACTTGTGAAAACTGGCCATATCGAGGCAATCCTCACAAAATGCACATATACCCACGAGGATTGATCAAAATTCAGTCAATAGCATCAAAAACGAGATTAATCTAAACCCATTCTGGTAATTATAAAAACAATACTCCTTTTTTCCACTGTATAATCGATTCTGGTTTTTGTTTACTTCGACTTATTCGGTAGCTGCTTACACAAATAAAGGTAGGCGTTAAAGTGTTGCAGTTTTTGGTTCATTACCAGTTTTAGCGTATATGTTGTCCTTATGTCTTAATCAATTGGCATAAGCTAAAGATAAGTCTACGTTTCTGTTCGGTAGTACTTTTAAAGGTCAAAATATATCGTACATGTTTATGTAAAGTTAAGAGGATGAAGAAATATCGACATATTGACTACATATAAACATGTAACATTGATTAAAGTATGTTTATAGAATAAATTAAAATTTATTAATGTTTTTATGCAAATATATTCAGTGTATACACGTAATCTGTGTGTATTGGATAAAGTCGATGTTATAAGTGTATGCATAGAAATAACTATTTGAGTGAACAATTTTGACCTAAAAAGAAAAACTGATGAAAAGGTGACTTTCTTGCTCCTGTTAATATTCATCAGATCTTATATTTTATGCACTATTTCATATTAATAGTATATCTGGCCATACTTTTCTGTTAAGCAGTACACGTTATATACTCTTGTGGCTTGAGCGTCTAGTTGGTGTACAATCTTAGTTAATATAAGAGTAGAATAGCAAAAGACTATGAATAATCAGATAGGAAGTAACATTAGTCCGTTAAGTGATTGAATACTAGTTTATATAATGTTAGAACGTGAAAACTTTTTGGTTATAAGGTTCATAAGATAATCGTAATCAGTGGTTGAAAACTCAGTGTGATATTACTCCTACTGAATTTTGAGTTTACATATTGTTTGACACTTCCTAGTTTTATTTATTTTTGTCTGTATCCATTCTTGATATTTAACTTTTTTTTACTATCATTGATACCGTTATTATTTTGACTCGACTTTTATATTATTAATTTCCTCTCACTAATGGTTAAGTGAAGTGTGGTTTCTTGGGCTAATGAACATTGATACCGCGTACTGTGTTGTTTATAACTGGTTAAAATAGATAACTAGTTTCTGACTGTTTTATCACATAATTGTTCGGTGCAGTTGGTATGATTTAAATATGATTGAATAATATTTTACGTGATTACCGAACTACATTCACACTTTCTTTAATCCTCTAGCTTCGAATTCTGACCCAAACCTAATACTCTGAGGAGGAGTGATACCGTTTATTTGTACAAACTGAATGGTTTATTAGAATAATAAAGTCAAATTAAAGTCTTGACACTAGGTGGTTGATGGTAGTAGTTGACAGGAAACCATGGACATAGGTCTCGTGCTGCTCGGCATTCGTCAGCAAGGTATTTTTGCAACTTTAATATCTAGTCCGGAACCTTCAAAAAGTATAAGTTGAATTATTATAACCCCTATCATATATATATATATATATATATATATATATATATATATATATATATATATAACCTATGAGTTCTATATTTTCTATTCCCACCGATAGTTTAATACCATAATTAGCAAGTGTTCAAACTATCTCGTGGTTTAATATTCATGACTGAATTTTGACCAGTCTTTATTTGGATATGCGCTTCCTGTGCAAATTAAATCGATATAGCAAATTTGTCACGTTTCATAGAATTGATGGATTATGGTCGGTAATGAAATTCGTTGTCATTGTTAAGGTCTACAATTGGTCAGTCATTTTTAACAGGTACATTCAACTAACGAAAACTAGAGAGGTTGAGTTTCACACTCTCAATTCTACTGCTATACTTTATCTAACCCTGCTTAAACTATCACTGCACTGTTCATTATATCGAAGGTTTGGGTACTACTGGAGAAAACAATCCATTTTTATTGTTCTCTCACAATTTTGATTCTCAGAATCAATTGTATATCTTCACAGTACTTTAATTCACTTCAGTTTAACTATGCGTAAGAAAAAAACGAAAATATCAAAATTATTCATTGTAGTTAGTTTAGGATGATATCTGTCATGGATTTAAAATTAAATCTTGTGCAACTTAAGTGAAATTGTGTTATAGCGGAAATAAATCAACCCTCACGTAAAAAGTAAACTATGGGAAAAAGGTCTTTGACTCCAACACATCATCTCAATCTCTTAAATTGCGAATTAAATGTGTTACAAAGCTACAATATAACAAGCGCTCATTAACTTACTGAGCTAATAACTTCTGTGCAAAAAAGTCAAGATAAAATACTTTTCTCATCCCGCTTCCCTAAAATCTAATTCTGTGTATAGAGTTTTTTTAACTGACCCTTACATTCTAGTTGGCAATTTTTTCAACCAAAAAATAGTATCAATAATGATTGTCATCATCACTTTGTATTTTTAGGTAAATGTAGTCGTTATTATTGGCAAAGCGGATAGTCTTACACCAGATGAATGTTCTCAGTTTAAACAAATAATTCTACAAGAGTTATACAATCACAATATTAAATTATACGATTTTCCTGAATCGGTTGCTAAATTAGGTGGTGCTGATGAGTCATATTCAGTCAATGAAATTCGCCAGGCTCGAGGACGTCAACCATTTGCAGTGGTCACCAGTAATAATCTTGTTACTCTACCGGATGGTAGGAAGGTAATATACATATTTTAGTTGAAGGGGTTTTATCCAGATTAGTTTCATTTGTAATTAGTATTCGTAACAGATTGATCCCACTTATGGTTGTATCGATAAACTGTTTCACTTATGAACCATTTGAACTGAGTGAAACAGTTATCATCAATGACATTGGATGGTCGTTATTATATTTATCGTAAATTAATTGCGACTGGAATTGTGCCGTTAGACCTCCGATCTAACGGTTCTTATGGCTAAGCGTTTGCTATGGGTCATGAAGATCCTAAGTTCGGTGTTCTGATGAGTTCGTGGATGCACACTACTTATAAGCCTTATGTTTGGACAAAACAACTGTCTGGTGGTACTTTAAATGAGATCAGTCTGATAAACGTACATATTTCTTAAACATTTTTTAGGATTTTGGTGTTTGCTAAGCTGTAAGTAATATGTTCGTGTCAAATCCACTCCATTGTCAACTATTAAAATTGCTACAATCTGCACAAATCCCCATCCTGATAGTAATCATGTGCTCACCTGGAATTGTAGTGAGAAGCCGTGACCAGTGGAGTCTAATCCGTGTCGGGCTGAGACGGTTATGAACTTCAGACAATGGATGAAGGGTTTCGCAAGATCATGGATTGATCAAAGTTAAACATTAACGCCGTTGGATACCGGCTCCGTGGTCTAAAGTTTAAGCGTTTGCGTGAGAGACCGAAGGTCCTGTGTTCGAGCTCCGCGTGCAGGATCGTGGGTGCGCACTGCTAAGGAGTCCCATACTATAACGAGACGGCTGTCCAATGCTTCCGGGTTTTCAATGATGGTCTAGGTTAGATCAACTTATGATTCAACTATTAAAATCACTATAATCTCCACAAATTCCTTCCTGATCAAGAGAATAGCTAATTTGTCGATAACTAATTTGACCGATGACGTACAAGGGATGGGGATAAATACTGATTACTAGTAAGTAATATAGTTATGAGACACGAGTTCCACAGTTCCTCTCACCTCTGAGATGAATAATCCTAGGGTTACTATGGCTGTGCAATTAAACTTACAAGTATGCAAATCAGATGCTTGCATACTCGTTGAACAGGCACATGTAATGCCAGCCTTACCGATAGTAAGACGCATAAAACCCGATGCCAAAACAACTCCAGTTCTGGCGGCATTTGAAGGATATAAAGCTGATGAAATTTAAGACTAAACGAGTTGTATTGTTAGTAGGTTTTAATGTGCTGGAATCTCACAGAGTTTTAGAACGAAAGATAGGAAACCCATGGGAACCTCACACAGTAAGAACTATTTCCGGATGGACAATAATTGGTCCATTTGGTACCGAACCTATTGATCAGATGAACTTATGTTGCCGCCATCTCTCAGAGATCAAACGAAATGTATTACCGACAAGACGTGCTAAATAATGGATCAACCAGGAGCAATGGGATCTCAGAGGAAGATAGATTACCATCTATGAAGATGCTAACTGAGTGGTATGGCAGATCTTGATCGTTTCAGGTAACAAGAGAGATGTGATCGAATTCTTGGTCCCACTTGGGCTGACGCGAGTGATCAAGGTATTATTGAAGCTAACAACATTGTGGAGAAGATTGACGATGAGATTAACATCCTTCATAAGTGCTAGAGATCTGCATTCGGTGCTACTGCCTGAACTTGAATCTCTGGTACTAATCTTCTGAATTATCTGAAATCTGTTGTAGCTTTTTTCAAATATTTTGCTTTGATACCTCCTTTGTTGTTGTTTTCTTCTGTTAACTCTTAAAGGCGAATCGGATATGAATTTAATATAACAGTTGCTGTACGATGCCTAGACTGATATCAGTAATTCAGTTTAAAAACATGAAGTTTGGGGAACCATTAATATTTTAAAAATATATCCAATTATTGTTCAAGTGTGGTTTGGTAATCTTTTTCTGAATTAAAACGTGATATTAAACTGAGGTAGATGTTAAGGCTGTTAATCTTCATCGAATGTGATGGTTGGGACATGTATTTTCCGTATACAAAACCGTTCCCTATCTCAACGGACGATGTTGGCTAGTGTAGGAACACATTTGAAGAAATCTAAGGGAGGCCAAACAGAAACATGACATCAGTTCATCAATTCATTGACTGTGGGTTTGAGCTCTGTCGAAAAATGCAGATTACCTAGTTGTAACCACTCCATAACCATGGTCAGTGGTCGGAGACATTACACGCGTTACTCAGAATAAGTCACATTGACGAAGATGCATTGACGTTTTGCATTCTCCTAGGTCTTGAGTTTCTGTAATTCTAGATACATAGATCTTCATTTTGTCTTCTCAAACCATGTAGTAAATTTCATTTTCTTCGTTATCATTCCTACTACATTATTTCAGTTCGTTTACCATTAATCTGGTTAATTTCATCTCGTCGTGCTAATATATAGTACGGCAACTCGAGCCAGCCCACATTTGTGGCAAGCTCTACAATAATAATTACTAATTGAATACATTTCTTAGTCTACTGTTATGATGGGAAGATTATTGGGAAAGTTGAAACTTTTGGAATTATTTTTTGGACTATTATTGTATATATATTTACTTTATGGTTAGGAGATTAATGTATTGTTACATTTATATATTCCTGGTATTGTAAGGTTTTAGCCTATTAACTGTTGCTATGCGTCTTATTATAACTTAGCTATCTCTAATTAGTTATGTACTGTTTGTGTCGCCCTCTACCACCTATGGTATATTTGTATTTAAAATATAATTTTGTATTTGGTGTGCTGCGTGGTCAGTCATTGTGTACATTTTCACTTATAACTGAATTTAGTACAATAGTGAACTAGTCTGCTGAATTAAAAGGAACTCGAGGATCAATAAGCGTTATGATCCCAGTTGTTGTTCATTGGCCAATGTGTCAATTGATAAATGAAATGTTACTGGTCCTACTGGTGAGAACTATTCGATAGTTAGAATCTTTGTTGGGCAATTTACCCTGTAATATCGATTAGAATCTCAAACCTTAACAAGTTGGTTATTATAATACATAACTACTGTTTCTGTATATACAGTGAGGTATATGCCACTAATTTATGTCTAGTGTACTTTTATACAAATTTTGTCTTTAATTAATTGTTTTTGTTGTGGAATATAAAAATATCTCTTACGAGTTTATGCTATTACATGTATTCATTTCTTGTCAATATCAAGGTATACGGTCGATCTTATCCATGGGGGGTTGTTGAATGTGACAATCTTGCACACAATGATTTTAATGCATTAAAGCATTTACTAATGAGTGTTCATTTGCAGGTTAGTTAATCCGCTTTCTTTCCCATTGATTATTATTTAAACTAATGCTGGGATTGATCAGAATAGGTCATATATGGACATATTTTTTTCCAGTGGCGTTAGAAAGATTGTTGAGTTTGAATTTTAACACTATGGATTAACTTTGGTTAGAAAACCACCGAAAAGAGTTTACTTTAGACATTCATTTACACATACAGACGGTAAAGAGTGCAACGTGGAGAAAGGCTTTTAAACCTGCTTAAGATATTACTCATTGCAAGCATTAATATAAATCAAAATAGACGATGCATAGTGTAACAAAGATAGAGGTGTTGGGTAAAGTAACAAGTATCAAGACAACACATAAGTACAAATGAGACTTACAAGCGTAGAATTGCAAGAACACGGACATAAGTGGTATATGTGATGAAGGTCACAACTTCCTATTAAAAGAGTGGAGCTATTAAGATAAAAATGACTCGATAGTCACATGCAGACTGAGTTACTCAAGTCTGTCCAAAAGTTAGGATGAATCATGTAAGTGTGTAATGTTATTATGTTTACTACACCTTCAGGCCTCAATAAGAGCTTTTAATCTACAAACCACTAATTTTGGATCTGACAGTTTACAGTTCTAACTTCAGTCAATTCACAATGTTGTGCAGCTATCATCTTTTGCCATTGTCTTACTCCCGACATAATTTAACTCTGCTTGTCACTAGAATTCTGGGAGTTATTTTATGAGTTAGTCATTGGTAAACACATGATGATTTTTATCATATGATTTTGGGGATACTGTTGGATTTATAGTTTCACATCACACACTGACTGATTTTTCCCATAAATCGTCTTTTAGCATGAAGGATTATTGAGTTAGTATTAGATTTCTTTATTCTTGCCTACGTCTGATTTCCGGAATTAAACCAGTGTGAATTGCCCGGTTTTGAATGTTCTATTATATCTTACAAGGTGTTTTAGAATCGTTCTAGTACCACTGTTGAAATATACTGTCTAGGAATGTAAAAATATACAGTGAATTTAGCGGAAATAGTACTTCTATGTGATTTTTTTTTCATGCAACTAAATGCCATGATAAATCTAATCGGAGCGTGAGTAACAAGGATTTGCAGTACAAAATCAATTCATCATTTTATTTCATGGCTTTTCATCAGCTCCATACAGCCTAAAATTACAATTATTGATACAATTATAAACAAATGTCTAACATACTTTAGTTTATGAATTTTAGATGAATGTCCGAAATGTAACCGAAATCATAATAACGATAATAATAATAATAGGAGTAGGGACACAATGTATATGAATAAACGTAGTTAAAATTAGTGTGTAATAATACAGAGTAGAACAAGTGTTATCATTACTAGTAGTCATTATTGAGATAAAAGAGATTGCTGTAATGATAATAAAATTGATAATTGATTGATAAGAAATAAATATATGAACATCTATGAGGCTATGTAAGTGATAGATAATAAAAGACAAATCGGAGAGGTTTAAAAAACTTTTGTCTCTGTGGATAGAACTCTCGCTAGATAACTATTGGGTTAAAGGATTTCAACCCTTTTTTTAAAAGAGAAAAGTTATTTATTAAGATTTTGCATACTTCTTAAACTTACATCAACTTACAATTTATTATTCATACCCATTGTCTCGAAAAGAAAAAGTGTCTGAGACGAAAACATGTATTGCAGTTAACAATTGTGTACACCAGATACTATGCCTATAATAGAAACTTCAACGAAACTCATTTCATTTAAACAATAAATACTTTTATAACCTCTAAGTCATTTAATAAATATGTATAGTGTTTGTTCATTTCAGTCCATAAGGTCATGAAAAGGATTTATATTACGGAATTAAATAGATTGCCTCCTAAGCTATTATGGTATTGTTCTCAACTCTTGTTATTTAATACTCCTATTTTATTTATTCCGCAACTAGTTCTATTCACAGGTGGTTTTTGTCGATTCGTTGTGTTAGACTGTTTTCCGGTTTCTGTGACCGATGTGCACTCTTGTTATTTGTCAGCATCCTTCGAATAATTGAGCTTAATCCGAACCAATAGTGTTTATCCATCAATAACTCACCTATCATTTCATCTTAATCTAGCATTTGCACAAGGCATGTGATGTAAGCTGATTGATAGATATTATCACGATTGGAGTACCATTGAAAACTAAGGAGGTTTCTCGCACTCTGACATTTTACTCTTTAACAATGGATTCAGCACGCCATACAATTCTTTGAGATTTCATGGAATGCACTTAGCCAATTGTTCTCATTCCATGAAAGCAATCACTTGCAAACTAAACCATTTTTCACAAGATTTCTCAGTTATATTGTTACTCATTTTTTACCGTTCTTTCTTTTATACAAAACATTGTTTAGGATTTAATCGATATGACACACCACGTACATTATACAAATTATTTTTCATCACGTTTAACAAGTATTGCTGAAGCAAGTAAATTTTTAGCTACAGAAGATAGTCGTGAACCTTTAAGTCAATTAGAAACGGAACGTTTAGCGCATCAGCGTAAATTGGCTAAATTAGAGTCTGAAATGGAGAATGTTTTTGAACAAAAGGCAAGGTTTTTTTAGTCTATTTATTTGTAACATTATTTTTCACTATGATTACAGTTCTTCGTATATATATATATATATATATATATATATATATATATATATATATATATATATATATATAAAGAAATAGGGAATGTAAAGTGTGTGTAATAAAAAGAACAACAATAAATAGGAATTAGTGTATGAGAGTGAAGTAATACTTATTATAATGGGAAAAGCATTCCAGCTAGGAAAAGTATTCTTTTAGTTAAAGAATTTACGTTCATTTTTATGAAGAAATTAAGAGAAAGTTACAGCAGGATCGCTACTGGCTTCTATCCTGAACCATGTCTGATAGCGTCTCTAGCCAAAGTTCTCAGACACACCCTTTTTCATTAGACAATTCCAGAGGATAGTCCTATCCGGCGAATTGAAGCCAGCTCTAACGCCAAGAAATACTAGGATTGTTGGGTTGTGAAAAGTATGATGGTGTTCTAACATTTGGTGGAGAGTGATGACATGATGAATACATCATCGACCAGAGCGAAAATCAGCCTGCTCCCCACGAGTCAATCTTTCTCGGGTTTTGAACAACAACAGTGATGAAAGCCAATAGTTTGGACGCAATCGGAAGTAGACTTATCCCACGATAGGTGTTGCATAAACGACGTAAACCCTTTTTAAAGATAAGGACAACTATCGACTCATTCCATGATGTTGGGACACTCTAATTGGCAGACATTTGTAAACAACTCTATTCTCTAACCAGAGAGTCACCACCATCTTTAAAGAGGTCCGAAGGTAAATCATCTAGACCTGGTGATTTGTATCGCTTCAAGAGTTGGAGTTCCTTGCGAACTTCCACCTCGTTAGTTGGATCAGTCGTCACAGGCCATGGGGGAAGGACAGTCAGATCAGTGTTGTCTGAGCAGCAAACCAGTTGAACTGATCCTCGAAAACCCCATCGTCCAAGACGTCGATAGATGTTAGTGATCGGCATCTCGTCATCTTCACAGATTATTTCACTCATACCAGACATCTTGCTGCCAATGACTCGGATGAGTTGAAAGAGCTTCCGGTGGTTACCGGAAGCAGCCTGAAGAAACCCAGTGGTTATAAGCGTGACGCAAGCGATTTTACTCGCCATTTTCGTGGCGTCATGAAGTTGCAGCCAATGCTCATCTATACTTCTCAGTGGGATGGTAGCTAGCCTTGAAGCTAACTCGGTTTGGTATTTAGTTGCAACAGAAGGGGCAACCACTTCGTTGACACCAATCCGTTTAAGACGATGGATTTGCTGGGTACCAAAAAGTAAGATAAAATTAGTGCAAACAAGGGCATGATCAGAGTCCAGATAGGTACTCCAAAAGAGCGACAGTTTCTTACACAACCACGTCATCGGTAGCTGATCTTGATGTGATCAATCCGAGTCCTGGTTTGAGTTGCAAAGGGAAGACACCAGATAGCACTTTGGATATGACTGTGCCGATAGTTAGTGCTTGCTCGAAACAGGTTGTAGTCTACGCAAAGTTGCAGGAGACGGTAATCGTTATTTGACCTTCGACTAACAGGTCCCCATCGACCGCCTAAAAGACTCTCTTCTGTGCCTAGACGACCGACCTGTGCATTCAAGTCTCCAGCTACTATTACAAAATCTGTCGTACGCACTTGATGTAGATAAACAGTTAACTGGTGGTAAAACTCATTATTGATCGCATCCGAGCTGTAATCTGTCAGAGCGTAGGCGGAGATGACGAAAAACATCGTTTCTCACACCGATTTCTTCGTAATTTGATGGAGCTTTCTAATTTAACAACACACAACTGACTGTTACTGGGGATCCAGTCGATCAGTGCTGCCTCAGATCTAGCGCTTAATGCGACACCAACGCTAGCAAAACCAGACGAAGATGCTACAGGGTCCCGGAGGCCACACCATGAGCTTTTGACTTAGAGGTCCAGTCCAGATGTAGTCCCATAGTAGCCGGTGCCCAACAATAGGTTCATACGCCATTTGTTCCTTCAGGACCCTGGAGCCCATGCACACCATTGGTTTGGAATCAGCGTTTTCTAACTCCTCTAGGTGGATCCTCCGTATCCATTAACCTAGTTAAAGCTCTTGACATTTGCCTTCCATTTTGTAAACGACACCCCAGCCACGGGTTGGTAAGTAGGACTTCTCTGTCAGTGGTTGTGTACGCGTGTCCATGTGAGAGCATTTCGAGTGAGAGGACAGACTCCCCTCACTCCCGGCCATACCAGGGCATTCGCGGGTTTTTTCCCATCTTCATTCCAATAAATTAAAGTTATGCTATCCTTCTTTGTTTTGTAAAAAACTTGTTTATAATAGGTTCATGAACGTACAAATAAATTAATTGAAACAGAACGTGATCTCGTGGAACGTGCTGAACAATCAGAGAAACACTTATTAACACAGTTAAACGAGTTTGAGAAACGTAGACAAGAATTTGAAGATGAACGTGCTATTTGGGAATCAGAAAATCGGGAATCTTTAGAAGTAAGTCATTTGAAGCTATACAGTTTTCTATATATTGAGAAAGGTTGGACAATGCCCAGTAATGAAATCGTTGTTGATGGTCACACCAGAATACGGACTTAGTACCTCCCTCGTCCAATGCCAAACGCGTTATACCCTTAGCTAATGAATTCATTTACTCATTAGCTTATGCACCGTGGATTCCACTACTAGCCACTAGCTCACTCTGTCTAATATGTTTGTGACCTAATGACAACATCTAGCTAGTCTGCACAGAATACATATATACTAAAAAAGAAATTGATCGATTGCAGTCTTTAACATAAATGAAAACGTCTAAATAAACCTCACAAATGGATTTGTTTTTCATATAGCATTAAAAGTATATTATTACAAATTTACATTATTATACTTTGATACTAGTCACTATTTTTACAGTGCTTATTAGTAGATAAAAACCTTTAGTCAACTTGTTATCGAAAATTGAAAACATTTTAATTTGAGAATGTACAGGGAAAGAAAACACATTTTGAACTGAAACTATTGAAAAATTACCAAAGATTGGTAGTCAGATCAAAGTGACTATCTATTGTATTCAGATTTTCCATCTCAATTGGTACACAGACTTAAAGAATCTTATGTTCAATCATTTTATAACTAGAAAAAGAAAATGGAACAAACGCTAAATACATTAATTAAAAGGCTTTATTACAGTTCCACTATCGTTTCCCTAAACTGTTTTCTTATTTAGATGGTAACTGAACAATATTTAGATGTGTGCCAATTAACTTTAAGTGGACCCAAACACGTTTGGCCGAAATTGTGCTAAACACGATTATTTTGTGTAATATACAAAGTGCGTGTAATATGGAGAAATCCACTCAAACAATAGGCCTACAGTCATATTTTTTGTTTCTTGACCCTTAAGTTTAACATTGAATATCCCAGATCTAGTAGGCCCATATGGCTACAAAAAATTAGTGTGACATTGACGGTTTCCGAAAACATTAGACGTAATAATTACTAAATAATTCCAAACCACAAATTCTATCGTAATATGTAGAAGTTACAACGTATCTTAGTGTTTGTGATTAAACTTTTCGAATTTTTTCATTCCAGTTGACTCAAATTATTTCGAATTACTCAACCGACCAATCATTATTATTTTCATGTCTGTTTACTCTGTTTCCATTTATTCCACTATTTATTAAAAATTCATCCTGAATTAACTTTAATAAAAAAGGTATTATTTAGAATTCTCTATTAAATTTTTTAACAGTCTATACATTTGAACTTGGCACCTTGTCACTTGCATCCTCGATGATTTATTTTCAAGAATGCACTGAGTATTTGTAGAATTATAATTCACATATATTAGTTGTTTGGATCTTCCCATTGATGTTCAGGACTGGAATTAATCAATCTATTTTGGCATATGTATATCCTGTACGAATTGTCTCGATATCGCCACAAACATTCTAAGCAGAGATAGATGGTGGTAGTGTTGGAGTCCAGGTTGCACGTTCTGTCTCATTTGTACGTGCCTGCATCCCAGGGTTGATGTTCACTCCAAGGCTCGAACCCAGTGCCGATTGTTTCAAAAACCATCACGTTGTTTCTAGTACTGTTCCCACTTTTTTCATCGTATCATCGTCATCTGCAGTGGTAATAAGACGCCTGTATTTCGTATATCATCCTCATAGTTGTTAGGTGTTGAATCAAATAATTACTGAGAGTTGTTTCCGACTTCTCATTGTTTAGTATTCTTCGGACACTTTACTTCACTCGACTAGTCACTAAAATGAAACCACGGCTTCGACAGGTGTGTGATTATATTCAAAATAAATCTAGTTGAATTGGAGTGAATGACAGTAAGTAAAACGTTAGTATATTTATAATTTTAAAGATAAAATTCTAGTCTCCTCTAAATATCCCCTAGCGCTGATTGGTCAAAATGAGCCAGTTTTTCGCTTTAATATAATCCTGCCTGGAACATGCTTTAATTCGATCTATATCCTTTAAACACTTTTGTTTCATGATTGCAAATGCCCTGGTACGGCCGAGAGTGGGGAGAGTCCGCTCTTCCTCTCGAAATGCTCTCACATGGCCACTCGTATATAGCCTCTGCCATGGAAGTCCTACTCACTGCCTTATCGTGGCGGGGGTGTTGTTTACGAAAATGAGAGGACGAAAAGCGAATGTCCGGTGCTTTAACCGGATTCCAAACCAATCGTGCACATGGGCTCCAGTATCCGGCGGGAACAAATGGCGTATGAACCAATTGTTGGTCACCGGCTACCATGGGACTGCATCTCCTTACGATGCTCCACTGCCTTGTGGATCAGACGTTCAGGTCGAAGGTTCGGGGAGTGGCCCCCTAAGAAAACCACCTGGTTCGGTTTGGGCACCCAAGCAGTATCACAGCCCTCACACATATCGAATGAGATTTGTATGGCGCATATGTATTTGGTGCCTCCTTGTACCAATATTTATGTGTTAAAATAAATAAATGTGTGTATATGATCCCATATTTTAATATTCGTTTATTTAACATACTACTCTTTAAGCAGTACTAGTTGATTTGTTCATTTTACAGTATATATATATATCATATAACGGACAATGAATACAGTATATGAAAATCCAATGCATTTCACTAAATACACTAAATATATTAGTCATTATATGTGTTGTATACCTCACCTACCTACCAGTCTCCCTATATTTACATATACAAAATATCGAACATAGCACAGTGAAGAAGAGCTTGGCGTCAATTAATAGACACCCATATATATATATATATATATATATATATATATATAATTTCGTCCATTTCAGTGATGTGATTGTTGTTCTGTTTTAGAATTTCGGTTTATTTTCTTTCAATAATTTTTATCTATCTATTTATTATTATTCTCTATGCAAATTATTTCATCACATTCAAGCACACTTAGATTGTGCAAAATGTTTGTAAACTACTGACGTTATTTTTGTGACTCTGTTGCTTTTATTGATTACTATTCGAAAAGAGTGGTTCTGTTACTACTAGTAGTAGCAATAGTAGTTAGTAGTTTGTTAATGATGATGATGACCACCTGTGTTAATATATGATGATTGACTGTGTTTAACTGTTGGGTTTTATTGTCGGCTGTTTGTTCCACTATTAAATTCCACCTTGACCTCTTTATGTTTTGTTTACTGGATAAGTTCAGTTTTTTCTCTATAAAAGTTTTGCTTTCGAATATTTAGTATAAAGATGTAAACAAAAAAATAATGTTCATAGGTTTAATCACGTGCTAAACTCCCATTAAAAACCAAGACGCACTAGACATCTGTTTCGTTCTAGTATATGACTCCTCAGTAGTGTACATCTGCGACCTCACCACAGAATATTAAGTTCAGCACCAGCAGGTCTCGCGTATGAACACTTAACATCTAGACCACAGAGCCGGTGTTCGATTCTATAAGTGTCTAACTACATTCAATTCACGGTATTACTCGACCATCTCCATTAGTTGCAATGAATTACTGTCCCACACATACGTGATTAAATTCCACTGGTTAACACTTTTCGATAGAAATCCAGAAGTTGCATCCTGAAGCTAATCACCAGTGAGCACACAATAATTATTAGTGTGAGGGATTTGTGGAGATTTTGAAATGTCCGTCTCTGGTGCGATCGTCGATGTATGAGGAATAATAGGAATTGAAGAGTGGGGTTGATTGTGAATACAGTGGTCTTGAGTGCTGTTAGAGGTATAAGGGCGCTTATCACTTCTCGGTTGCCCACACCGTGGAAGGTTCTTCTGGAGGTACCTGAAAAGGAAATCGGATTAGAGGTGGTCTTAGTGACCTGAGAGCGTGACCGCACTGCCCAAGGGACAACTGCTTGAGGTCGGTCACACGCGACTTTTTATGAATAATTTTTGTGTTAGCTCCGCACTTGTTGAGACCTTACCGCCGGAAACGGATATCCGTGGGATAAGGCGAGGTGTGCATTTTTAGGGTCTTCCCTTAAACTAAGAGATTAAAATCACTTCTTTCTTTCTACGAACTAATTCTTTCTTCCTGTACTATGTTCTTATATGCAATCTTTCTTTTATATATTACCACCACTGAATTAACTACTTCTATGAATCCAGTGTTCATCTTGTTGTGTTAATGAGGTATGGCAACTTGGGCCGATGCACATATGTGCCTTGTGCGATCGTTGAAGTACATTACTGAGGAGTCGCAAACTAGGTCAAAATAGCTTCCCAGTGTTTCTTGGTTCAAGGTGGTAGTGTAGCTAAATCAGTTTGTGATTTAAGACACATTCTACAATCTTTACAAATCTTCCCTCTTCTATTCTAAAGAAAGCGATAATTAATTTTATACCACCTATTTTATAAGTATGCGAAGTACTAGTTATATATTTGTCGAATTTGTTGATTTTTAAGAGTTATGTTTAGATGGTGGTTGGAGGTAGTCAACAGGAAACCCTGGACCAGGGTTTCGTGCTACTTGACACTCGTCAGCAAGGTGTACCTGTAATCTTGAGGGAACTGGTGCTCCCTGGCGGATTCGATCTCGTGTCACCCAGCTTCACAGTCAGAGACGTTACCACTGAGCTATCCGAGCCGTGACTAACCTCCTGTAGGACTGAGATGCAATCACAATTGATTGATCACTGGGTGGTGATCAATGTCATGCTTGTCTAGTCCTTATTGGTGCAGATCGAATGCTATCGATCATGTTGCAATGTGGCCACCAGTCTAGGTGACTCGATACTGCGGGCACTATGTATTGAGATTTAGATGGTGGTTGGAGGTAGTCAACAGGAAACCCTGTATCCGGGTTTCGTGCTACTTGGCACTCGTCATTTCGTCTATTTAGAATTACGAATAGATATACCGACATCTCACTGTTTATGTTGACATTAAATCTTGAACTCAGTACTTTTTGATTCCAACACCAAAGTGTTATCCACCCGGCTAATTATTCAAGACAAAACTAATTGATTCAACAGACATGATTTTTATATCGCTGTTAATAAGAGTTTGAATTACTTCATTGTTGTTATTGAGTTAATTCAAACAATCATTGAAAATACTTTAAGTCGTATTCTCGTTGTGTTTGTTTCAGTCAGTTAACTAACTGAAAAGTCTGTCTAAATCTTTATAAATTTTACTGATGAATTCATCCTTTATTCTTCTGTCAAGTTTTGAATTTCAATTTAATTTCTCAAAATAATCCTTTCTTTATAAACTATATAGAAATAATCTTTGTATTCCAAATTTAAAGTAAGCGTTAAAACATCTGTATAACTATGGTCGATTTTTAGCTTCCTAAATTTAACTCCCACATATCTGAGTTGAGATGGTTGCTTCATCCCAACATTGGCTTTGATGACTGGTTAATAACTTCACGAACAAATAAAAGGTCTTTGTCTGACCATTAGTAGCCTTTTTCCATTAAACCCGTAAACTTGATAGAGTAAAACCTAGCTGTACAAAATCTTAACAGGACCTTAACTGTTTGAAAGTAATTTGGTAAACATTTTTTCCTGACATAACCACGATATGCGTATTTTTAAACAATTTTTATAGAAAAATGCGACCTAACTAACTAGCTCAACCGTAACATTTTTGACTAGTTCACTAGATGGTATTCATTCTATTGTCTAGTGGAGTCTATATTTCTTCAAAACTATTGAATATCGATAGTAAGTGTGTTTATGTCTATGTTTTCGTATTGGTTGACTGGCAAACATATAAAAATTACACTGGATTTTAATCTTTACTTTTTTATCCATACTAATAATAATATAATAGTTGCAATCCGTTGACCAGTTACCTTAAATATTTTGACATATCTTCTTTCTCCTATGAAATAATCCCTGAGTTGAACTTTTCTTTTAACACTTGTAACGGCATATTCCTCGTTATTATTCAAACAATGAGAACTACATGTATAATATACTAACCAGTGATTTCACTAGTATAACAAGTAATATTTTTAAATCTTCAGTACTGGTTGTATTGTATCACTATTTTCAACTTTAGTTCTCGATTGTTATCTATTAAGATGAAATATATCCAACCACTTCGGTAAAAAATAGAGAAAGTGGATTTACGAACCAATTACTTATTGTGACACTCGCGTTTGTTGTTTTTCAAAAACGATGTATTCTTTTGTATACTACTACTCTGTAGAAAACTTGAATTTGGTCCAAGCTTATTCCCTACAAAACACCCACTATTTGTAACAGTTCCCTTCCCCTACTATGTTACTGTTTCTTACATTTTTGATGACAGTTGAAGTAATTCTCCACTCTTCAACTCCGTACAGTAGAACCGTTTCTACATTGATATTGTTTGACAGTATTTTTGAGTTCCAGATATTTTTCAGCTGTAGGAATGGTGATTTACTCGACAGAAGTAGTATATAATTTGTTTGTTGTTTGAGATCCTTTTTATATGTATATATATATCGTTGAATTTTTTCTTTTACTCATAGGCTCTTCATATTACACCGGACCGAGGTGATTTTATAAAGGATAAATTTCGAATTAAACGTAAGGGATTATTTTAATTTTCAAAAAGATGTGCTTTTTGAGAGAATTCCTGTCTGTGATTTTTGTGACTTGTTAAATTAGGAAAGAGTTTTTTGCTTCATTTAATTATTACATATGCACACACACGATACCTGTGATCAAGTTTTTTTTTTAAATACTGACAAACTCAACAGATCAAGACAATGTGTAGTTTTAGTTTGTATACTACTTAAAATGCTCATTCTACTTATATACATACATCAATATACGTTCACATTAATGTAATATAAGGATTCCCACTGGCTACATTTTTTGTGCACCGCCTATATTGTCTTCCTTTATTCAATAAAGATAATTCATTGAACAACTAAAAATAGAATGGAACTATTATCTTTTACATTAAAACTATTGTTAATGTTTATGCTTGCCTTTACACCTTATTATTGTTCAATTATGATTTCAGTAAAACGAAGTAATTTTTTATTGTTGTTACTTGTTTTGAATTTTGTATGATCTGTGTTTTTTCGCGTACGTTATTTTTTCGTTTTTTGATCTGAAAGATACCATAATGAATCCACTTACTATATTGCCATTAATTCATTACAGTGTCCTGTAACGAGGTGTAGTCCTGCTTTAAAATAGTTAGGGAATATGAAATTATCGTAGTTTGTTTTACGTGATTCACCCGATAATATTCGTTACGAAATACTGGGAAATGTTTTTGTCAAGTCCCAAACTAACAACTGTTGACAGAAATTCTATTCTCATCCGTATTGCACTCAAAGGTGAAAGATTTCAGGTAAGATCGTTAGAAGGATTGAATCAGCACTGAAAAGATGCTTGCCTAGAGCCAAACTATATTCAGTTTAGAACACCAAATGTTTCTTAAACCAATCAAAAGTGGAACCATATCATTCTGAAGTCACCACCAAATGTATTTCCTAATTTATGTGTACTTATGTGAGCAAGTGTACAAGCAGTATTGAAAGAAGAACAGAGCTGGATTCTCCGAACATATCTCTCGAACAATGTGTCTTAGTAAAGTTTACACAAATGTGATTACAGAACAGTAATTGAATAGTGGACATAACGGGAGATCACATGGGCAATTGGATAATAAACATCCAGCGAAAATCACATTACTTCGGTTAAGAGAGGCCAATTCATCAAATACTTCCAACCTAAAAATTATAAACAGAAATAATGCTAAACCGCTCATTGTTAAAATAATGTAGGTATACTATTTTACGATTTTCGATTAAACTATCTCTTCATTGTACCTTGTAACTGAAACTTGGAAATTCTACTGAAATTCACTGACGATGCTATTTCTAATTTTATGTCAACTAGATGCTTTGATTATCACTCAGTTAACATTTTTTTATTCACTGTCACCTCAGTATCATGTATAACTGCACTACTTTTATCACTTCATCTTCAACATATAAATACTGAAAAATCGTTGTGGTTATGTTGAGCATAATGTTTCATCTGATTTCTTATGTCGTTTGGAACTCAAAATCATTAATTATGGTATGTGAAACATTTTGTACTAATATTACAGATATAAAATTTAGGTCGTTTGCAGCTGACGAGATACTTTGAAATGTAATAAATACATGTTATTATACAAAGCTCATTCTTCTTATTTTAAGTGAAATTGTATTTCCGTTGGATCCTTCGAAGTAATCCTCCAGTTCATCTGCTAGTACTTGACCCTGAACTTTTTGAATTATAACCGATGTCACGTGGTGATGATAACTCAATGGATTGATAATGCTAACTCAGAATACTATCTCGAACCCTAATATGTGAACTTGACCATTCTCCTTTACTACAAAGAATCATTTAGCATGTGAGGGTTAATTATTAATAAAAAATCTACTATTCCATCGGTACTTCATCGGTTTTTTTTATTGTTAATTGTATTGTAACAATGCAGCGTTTGCTGGTTGACAGATAAGTTGCTGTGGGTCGTCATTATTACTGTACTTTGACCCAGGTTTTCTATTAGACAGGCGAAAACAATTTGGGTTGTGATTTAAGAAATGTGGTTATATGGTGAGACACATTTCAAAGAAGTGTGTTGATTATCGGATCAAATGTTTGTTTATTTTGATGAAGATCTGATAAGGAGTTTACTACTGGGAGGTGGTTTTTTTTATCGAAACCATTTCATGTGACTGATGTGAGGAACTGCAGATTATTAGAGTTGAGGTTAGTCTATGCAAACAAACTGAGTCAACAGTGGATACGCATTAAAGACCAGGGCAATGTAAGCCGTCGAATATCGGCTTAGTGGTCTACTGATTAAACGCTCTCATCAGAACCTAGTGGTTTTGGGTTTGATGCCGGTGGATTGTGGATACTCATTTCTGGGGATCCCTATACTAGAAATATCGACTGTCTAGTATTCCTTTTTTTGATTGATTTCCTAGACTAAGTGCAGTTTGTGATATAGGTAATAAAATTTGACAATTTCTCGGAAACCACAATATTATCAGGCGAAATGCATTCAGTCACTATCGCTTGACTTAAAACCTTTGTCATTCAAAATGAACTACTGGATTAGTGATCAGTAGTATATATGTCGAGTGCTTCAATTATTTTCTGTTTTACACTACTGGATTTCATTTATTTCCGATCCATTTGCGGCGGTTGTGAGCAAACCCGGGAAATCAGGCTGTTCCTGACCTGGTAGAATATGTGATGACTAAACTTAAAATGTTCACGACTGGTTTGTTTCGACACTTTAACTGATGATAGGAGTGAAACACTCGGCCTCATCGACCATCCCATTTATCAGTCCAAATAAATCGGTTTCCGACGAAATCTCGGCACACATTCAAAAGTTCGTTTGGTTTTCTCTATCCTGCTTCACTTGTGGCGTAGGTGCAATGTCCGTCTTCCAACAGAAGGGCATGTGTCCTGCTCATCAGTCAGTTGTTCATTAGTTTATGGCTTTGATACATGGTCTCTGAAAGCAGGAGGTATAAGTAAGCTGAGGTATTTTGACAGTAGATTTCAGCGAGGCATTACTCTCGTTCCGTGGAGCTACTGAGTGAGGAATCTTAAGGTAAAGTAATGGTGGCAAACTGCTTGATGAGATTGTAAATCTTGATTGACTGAGGCGGTTGGAACATGTGTAACACATAACTGCCCACTCTCAACCTCGATGTTTTCTGTTGCAAAAATGCTCTGTAAGAGAGCTATCGGGAACATAAATATGGTGTGGCATCAATTCATGAAGTTATAAACTGTTGGTCTGATTCACGATGTAATACAGATACGACCCATTTAGGATCCGCATGATAACTGCGATTAGTTGTTAGAGATTTAAACTGACATAACTCAGTGACGAAGGTACATTCATTCTTCCTCCAGATCTTGAACTTCAGTATCCTTTCATGCATATCTCTCTACGCTGTCTTTTTAAACACTTCAAAATGTTCAGCCGTTCACTATAGAATTGTTGCTATACAATTCCGATACATTTTACAATTCAGCTTGTTATTTTCATTTCGAAGTGATAATATTTTATGGGAACTTGGGGCAATGCACACTTATTTCAGGCTCTATGTAAATGATGTCTGTTTGCCTTCGATTGCACTCAGCTTAATTTCTCAGTGGGGAGTTTAAAACTCAAAAATTCATTTATGTTGATTATAAACAATACTGACCAGATGACATTCCTGTTGGACTACTTAAGGAAAAATACATGGCTTTTTGAAGTCGTATTTACCGTTGGCGTACATTTCACATAGTCTATGACAATCAATTAGATCAAAACCTCAATTTAACTAACCAATTTAATTCATATACAGTGATCCAGAATAATCGGTTTTATCACGAAAAACTAAAGGAAAACTAAACTACGAATATTGTTTAGATTGGCTTACTATCTCATCCTACCCTGCTAATTACGACTTCACACTAGAATTCTGGAAATTTCATCTCGAAGATAGTCATTGGAGAATACACAGTGAAATTATATAAAATAATTTCAAGTAGACTGGTTTAGCATTAACTCTCTCATAATCCTTCATTTCAATCTAACAGGATTCTACCAATTAGATCATATTGATGTCTTATAATATTTGGTATTCAGTTTCTATGTCGCTTGGTTTCATTGACTTTGCTTATTGTTGTAATCTGTGTCTTAACTAATGAATATGGTATTCAGACTATGCATCTTTCTAATAGGTTTGATGTGTATAATTATAAAATTCAGACGAAATCGTTACATATGATATTAACCGTTCGAGTACTTTATTTAAGTTTGTTCCTGTTCCCAACTGATATTACATTTTCCTAGTTCTATGTTCAACGTTTGAGCACTTTAAATGAGCTAGTTATTAGTCAACGACCACTGAAAATGTCCCTTATCGCAAAAATGAATAGAGAGTGTAAAACGGAACAATTATAGCAATTTTTGCAAATAGCAATGTCTGCAAAAACTAGTTTACTTCGTGCTTATTTTTGTTGAGTTATACATCAAACAGAAGTGTGGGACGATATCTCAACTACAATTCAGACATTAAATCATTTGAATGAATATGTTTTATGCTGAAAAGCACTCACATGATTTTGCATTACTCGATGACGATTGAGGACCACATTTTAAAATAATGCCTTATCTCTTAAAATTTGATTGATCACTGGTCAGTGACCATTGTTTTGCATGTCTTACAAATCCTTATTTTTGATCGAATTCACTTCTGATCTGTTCGATGGGAATTGGAGCATCGGAATCATGTTGATTTCCCTTGTTTTTTGTTCCTCACAAGAAAAATTGATATGATTGTGTGGCGATCTCCGATGAAGCTTCTAAACCTGAAATCTAGATAACGAACAGTTGCATAACTGAACAAGATTCGAGAAACAAGCTTCCGTATTCTCTAACTATTACGATTCGTCTCATGAGAGGTTATCGTTTCAAGAGAGATTTTAGCCTTTCTAATAAAATTTCATTATTATTGTGAGTGCCTTAGCAGTTAACGCGACAGTAATTTGTTGCACAACAATTCAGTATTGAGGAGTGATCAATATTAGACCGGTAATTTCACGGTTCCAAACGAGTCTTGTGAATTTAGGTGTCGCTTGATCAACAAAACAAACAGCTCAACAAAATGTTATGCATTTGATTTAATGATAAAAGACATTCGTGTTTACTATCGTTCATGTGCATGACTGACCCGTTAAGTGGTTGAGTGTCGCATTTACTTACAACTTCCAATCCCGGTCGCGTGACTTCACCGTCAGAAGTGTCGAACCTACGTTGTTCAGTCAACAGTTGGCTATTTATATACTCAAATCACCCAGTGAGTAGAAATTGATATCATGCAACCTTCTAGCTCATAAGACTGATTGGGTGCTCTCAATCATGCTCTGAATCGAATATTCTCTGTTATGCATCTCAACTACTCGAAAAGAGCTCGTCGTTGAACTGATTCACTTATATCACTCGATTCGTTTTCACATTAAATTACATTCAGATATTACCTTGGTGTATTCTTCGTTCAAACCACAACGTATAGGTGAAATGCATCTTCACTAGTGTTATTACAAGTGAGTAATTAATGATCTCCACAACTATTGTTCACAAGATTGTTCTACTCTCGAATATTTAAATGAACTTCACATGATGATATTTTCGAACGAGTTGTCAATTGTGAACCGTAGCAGTTGAATCAGATTTCTATGTCTCTCACAATTCAGTCATTTTACAAATGCAGAATTTTCATTGATTTAGTACAATTATATTGATCAATGATATGAATATTTCACTTGAAGTATGTGACCTTGACTGATTGTTTGTTTTCTCACTTTGTGGCTTATTTTAACAATAGACTAATGATGGAACTAAATAAATTGGATTCATCAATAATGTATTGTAGACGAGAAATTTTCACAGATATTTTATGTTGAGTTAGTAAACTGTCAAGGTATTTCTATATCATTAACATATTTGTGTATATTGATTGACGTTAACTATCGTGTTCAACTATCACCAAATTACGCTTTCATCTCCCGTTTCACGTTGACTGAACACTTAATGTGTGTTCTTCAATTACTCATCATCACTTAATGCAACAACTATTCAATACAAACCTGAATACGATCATTAGAACAACTGATGAATACAGTGCTTATCCATACTCAAATTGAATAATCTTGTGTGTTCCCTTAATAGTTGAGATCATGAGTCAATCGAAGCTAGATCACCATGGAAAACCTGGAAGCACTGGACGGCCGTTTCGAACTGCTGTGGGACTCCTCAGCAGTGCGCATGTACGAACCCAGCCCGCGAGGTTCGAACCCAGGACCTCTCAGTCTCGCGCGTGATCGTTTAGCATCTAGATCACTGAGCCTTCCAAGTTTTCCATGGTGGTCTAGCTTCAATTGACTCATTATTTCAACTATTAAGTTTACTATAATATCCACAAGAAGCCCTTGTGATATTAATCTTGTGTGTGTTTTGATCTTGTAACTATAAGACATGTCGTCAATCACTAACAATCAAAAGGAATTTGTGAGACGATTCAGAACAGTTAGGGAATATGGAAGTATGGGAGTTTGTTTCTCGAGTCTCGTTCAGTTATGAATCTGTTCGTTGTTTCGATTTCAGGTTTAGAAAATTCATTGAGATTGCCACACAATCATATCGAGTTTTCTTGTGAGCAACAAAATACAGTGGGAATCAACATGATTCCAATGATCCAAATCTCACCGAACAGAACAGAACAGAAGTGGCTTCCAAAAGTGACTTGACTCACCGAATTTCTATAACGAAGCAACACTAGTGTGAGTGAGTTGATGAGACACAATGTGGATATGGTCTGACAGCTCTTGCAAATTGTTTGCACCCACATATCGACGACCTATGGATGATTAAACACGAGTTATTAGTACCATGTTCACAAACCAGATCTTCTTACACAGTCAGTTGATTTCTCTATGGAATTGAATTGCATTGATCAAATGTTGAGTATGTGTATTGGTGACTGAGTGAACATGTGTATTTGGTGTGAAGTTTGACAACGTGATGTGATGTGATGTGTTGTCGGTGGAAGGAATGGACAATTTGAGTGGTTAGGTTGATTGGAGAAAACGTTATTTTGGTGGATAACTAGACGACAATCATAACCATAAAGCAACACACCAAGTGTATTATACCATATGTAATGAGATTATTGTAAAAGATGTATATGATTTGAAATTGTATAGTGTCTATTGTTGACACTGATCGATGCACTCAACTGATTAGATATTCAATGAATCACGACAGTGTGTAAATGATATATATGGTCAAACAAAACGTGAATTTAAGACGGTGCATAACTTAATTAACTAAATATACCAGCTCCTAATATAAACCGTTTGTTAAAGTGCTTAATATGATTCAACACGTAGATAAGAGTGTTTACTGAATATAAGTACTATCCTATCTTTCTTACCCTAACTCTAAATCTGAATACTATTTCTCAAGTTTGTAAACAGAAGGGTGGCGAAGAATCGCATTATAAATGATGTTAGTTCATGATGAAAACTTCAACAGTAATTTGTAAATACAATTCGAAATTCCAGTTTATCTGTCAATACGTGACCCCGAACTTTTTGAATTATAACCGATGTCACGTGGTGATGATAACTCAATGGATTGATAATGCTAACTCAGAATACTATCTCGAACCCTAATATGTGAACTTGACCATTCTCCTTTACTACAAAGAATCATTTAGCATGTGAGGGTTAATTATTAATAAAAAATCTACTATTCCATCGGTACTTCATCGGTTTTTTTTTATTGTTAATTGTATTGTAACAATGCAGCGTTTGCTGGTTGACAGATAAGTTGCTGTGGGTCGTCATTATTACTGTACTTTGACCCAGGTTTTCTATTAGACAGGCGAAAACAATTTGGGTTGTGATTTAAGAAATGTGGTTATATGGTGAGACACATTTCAAAGAAGTGTGTTGATTATCGGATCAAATGTTTGTTTATTTTGATGAAGATCTGATAAGGAGTTTACTACTGGGAGGTGGTTTTTTTATCGAAACCATTTCATGTGACTGATGTGAGGAACTGCAGATTATTAGAGTTGAGGTTAGTCTATGCAAACAAACTGAGTCAACATGTACCCTCGACTGGAAATCTGTCGTTATCAGTAGAAGGTCTCAATGATCTTATCTTTTGTTTGTCACACTTGGGAGTACGATTGAAAAGCAGAGTGCAATAGATAGTTTTCTTCGCTATTAATGAACTCGTAAATGGTACGAACTAAAAACCTAAAGAATTAGTGGATCTATTTGGTTGATTACATTGGTTGACATGTCCATCTTTCATCAATTCTGGATAAAGCGTGACGCTAATCCAATGTCATCATATTTTATATTGAGCAACGAAGTAATGTATGAACTATTTAACCAGACAGACAATCAGTGTTAGTGTTTCTCTCAATCATTTCAATTTGATAAAGAGATAATGGCAACCTAAACGACGAATTTCACACATCAGGAAATTTTTTTAACCGTCCTTAACTACGGTCTCTATCGATGAATTCCATTTAAAAGTAAAACTGGCTAAACTTCCTAAACGACAGATGGTGGACAGCAACTCATTCTGTACCTCCGGAAGAATGATTCCTAAAGGATATCACCCATGAAGGCATTTTGAAACTGTTCAGAACGGTAACAAGTAAAACACAAATAACATATTTGGATTGTGATTGTATGATACATCAAATATGACATCAATGAGTTCATAATTTGAGGTAACTGGTATAATCCATTTCTGTTTTTCCCATACGCGTTCTGACGTTCGTCAAATTATAGAAATATAATAATTTTTTATCTGTTCATATCATCAATCTAGATAACACAGTACTTCATAACTCTTCTCCGAATGTTCCGTCACCACCCCATGGAAAATATGCGCAACCATGTGATGGATGGACTTTACCAACACACATCTCATTATTCACTAATCTACGAGCTATGTATAAAGGTTCGGATGATTGGGTTTCACCAGCATGTAATGCATTGTTTGGTACATTGCCTCCAGTATATGAAACCCATTCATAACTAGATGAATGAACAATGGAGAAAACATATTATTTATGTAAATGCTTATAAATATTTTGAATGGCAAACTGCAAAATTGAATATGGGAAAATGAAAGAATCCGATAGAAAGTGGTTACTTAAGAAAAACACTTGGATAACTGCACAACATGTTTGTGGTAACTCTCAATTGTCGCATTCCGAATATGAAGGCAGTTAGTAAGCAAAAGTGGAAATCTGTTTGTAAAATGAAGACGCTATCACAAAAACAATCAGTTCGAAATAACAACTGTAGAGTTTTGATGAGTGCGTTAACATAGAACACTGACTATCGATTAAATGGTCTGTAGTTTCTAAGTGGATGTCATTCTAAGCCATTCAAGACGTGTAATATTAAGTAAATAATGCGGTCAGTTGTAAATGTTAATAAATATGTGCAAAATTTTGGAGTTTCACATCACAGAGTGACACCGGTTAGACAAGCATTGGAATCCTGGAAGCCTCAGATAATCGATGTTCACAGTCTAAATATTTGTATAGGTCGATCAAGCGAATATTTGGATCTGATACTTTATCTACTTTGAAAATGCTGCATAATGTTCATTGTATTGTTCTCGAAACATAACATAAATACCAATCAAATTTCAACTAAGTCGTAATAAAGTTAATGCGATGACAAACAGTTCAGTTACTCTGTATAACATCATCATGCATAATCTCCATTAAATAAATCGACCGATACAATACACACTAAATCATTCAAATAAATTCTCATCTGTGTATCCGATTCATTATTTGATTACATTACGAATAATTCATATATTCTCAGTAGATATTTCACTAATCTCCATTAGTCAACTTAAACTAATGATTTTTCGTAACAAAGTATTAAGATACTTGAAAGGATTATCAAGTTAATACATTCCGCCTACATCTATTTATATGCATTTGAGTTATTGCCAATGTAAACAAAAATGAATAGATTTTATTCATTTGATAGAACATAGATACACATAAGTATGGCGTGATTGTGTTATTAAATTAATGCTGTGTAAATTCCATATTTGGCTTCATGTCAACAAATATTAATACGTACAGTTCTGAATTGACTGACTAATTCAATACCGTTCTATATTTGTAGTTCAGCTGTTGAGACCAACTGATCATATCAGAATTTGATAGTAATGTCTTTCCGTAATGTTTTTGGTGGTAATTATTTTAAATGCCATCATAAATGGCTTATTCCTATAACTTAGAGTGTTAATCAAAAAGAACTCTTAGTTGAAGTAGTCTTATTGAGTGAATTGAGTTTCAAATCTGACTTATTTATGTGTAGTTATAAGCATTTTGGTTAAGATTTTATCAAATTGGTCCCTCGTATTGACTGATGAAATGTAAAACTATCGGTCCATGGCTTGATGATTCAACTGGGTCCATGAATCAACTATCTTAAACGACAAAATTAAATGAGTTGGACACACGTTCGAATTTTTTTTACTTAAATGGCACAAGTTACTTTCATTTACTTACAAGTGTTCTGTTGGCTTTAAACTTGTGTTGCACAACACTTCGAAACTGTCCAATTCAACTTCTTTTCCACCATATGGTACATAACCTTTACCAAGATATATGGGCCATTTTCCAGGTATCACATCATCATTAACTCGACCACGAATAACGTAGATATTAACATCAGCTCCAACAGCATGTGGTGGAGGGGTTTGTTTAGCGTAGGCGGGTAACCATGATAGATGTGCTTGTCGTCCAGACTGCTGCCACATTCTTTGGCATGTAAATAAAATGCATAGAATGAAATAATTTTTTGAGAAATAGATTACTGAATCTTTATAAGCCAGATTTATTTGTTGAGACTTTCGATCAGCTATATATCACGTTCCTACCACTATTACTAGGGAGGTACTTAATTTTGAACTAATTTTCTTATTATTTGTGGTTGATTTTTTAAATACATAAATGAACTTACTGTTACTGATAATATTATTGAAGTTTTTCATCTTAACTAAGTTCACAAAGCCAGACATCATTCAGGATTTACAGGAAATAAGTAATAGGTGACTAACAGAAAAATTGTAAATACAAAACGTTGAGAAGTCTTACTTATCGAGAAACAGCTTCATGAACTTCACAAGTTTTCTATGTGAGGTTACATCATTTATGAATACTCTTATTTCGACATTTTAGTTAAATCTATTTTTCTTCTTCCTACAACATAACTCTTGCCATTGTTTTTGTTGTCAAGTTTTACTTCTGTGAGTTTCTGCTGAAATCAATATGTACTCTGAATGACTGATCAACATTTCTGTCTATTTTTGTTCAGTCTTAGTACTCCAACTTGATACAATTATGTGCTGTTTCCAACACTCAGCTTGTTCAATTTTTTCTTATTTAATAAATCTGAAGGACCCAGTATTTCTTTAGCTAGACTTTAATCGGTGTAATTGGCGCTAAAATACGTTCTATTTTTTTGCATTATGTTTCATAATAGTATGGTACTTTCCGATATATCTAGTTTTTTATCTTTGAAAGCTTTTATATGTAACTCAATCATCAGTCCGGAAACCTATTACAAATCATATTATACAGTCAGTTTCAACGTAGGACCAGGTACATATATGCATCGGTCCGAGTTGCCATACCTCATTAACACAACAAGATGGACACCGGATTCATAAAAGTAGTTAATTCAGAGGTGGTAATATATAGAAGAAAGATTGCATATAAGGATGTAGTACAGAAAGAAAGAATTAGTTCGTAAAAAGAAAGATATGAAATAATTTTAATTTCATAGTTTAAGGGAAGACAGAAAGTGTATACACCTACGTTATTGTGATCGACTTTGGGCCATGTCATACGGAGTCTCTAAACATTGGTTACGATAGACACGCGCACCCCAACCGAGTAGTCTGCATCTACCAACATGGCTCAGACTAGAAGTTAGCGACCTCAAGCACTGATGCCACATTTTGGTTTGGGCGCCCCTAGCGTTCTTCCAACCATTCCCAACACTAGTCAGCATTGCCCGTCTTGGTAATCGGTGTTCAGGTATACGTAATACGTGGCCCAACCAACTCAGTCGATGAAGATTCACAACCTCATCAACTGATTTACCATCATCCCCTAATATTCTGCGTCTAACCTCACTATTACTTACCCGGTGATCCCAGCACATGCGAGCAATATTTCTAAGACATCTGTGGTCAAATACTAGTGACTTACGAGTATCTTCTACTCTTAATGGCCATATTTCGCAGTCATAAAGTAGGACAGAACGGACTGCCGAGCAGTATACTTGTCCCTTATTGATAGACAGATATCTCGCCTTGACCATAGATAACGTAAGTTGGCAAAAGCCAAACGAGCTTTTCGAATCCGTGCTGAGATTTCATCAGACACCAATCCATTCGGGCTGCTAAAGTAGTAGACTGTAGCGACTGTCTTTAAATCAATACCACAGCACAGTCCTTGATAAACGTGTGTATGAACAGTTATCTGGGGAAATCTACCTTATGATTGAAAGGTTTGATGCCTGAATGTATCTAATAAAGTCAATTTTAAGAGTGAGTACTGTCCCATGATATTACTTATGGATCTATTGTTAGGTGATACATGATCTGAGCTGATAGCCAATAATTTTTATCACAAAAGGAATATGTGGTTATATTCAAAATAGAAAAATCTAATGGTCACTCTTCACTGAATACAGTGTTTAGATATATCGAATTTCGCTAAATAATCCAAAAGTATCCGAATGACAATTTCCAGTCAACAGGTCATCCTAATCCTAATACATTTTATAATAGATGATTTACCAAAATGTTTGACATTCACGATCATCAAAACAACGAAGATGAGTTTCAAACTCGACAAATCCTTCAGTGTTGGAAAAGTAGTCTGTATGCATTTGTGGTTCACAAGCACAAGGTATTTTGTATAAGAAAAGTCAATTCATTAAAATCAATAACCCAGTCAATAAACTAACCTCTCAATGAGTTATGTTTGAATGGTGAATATATACAAAGGCATCGCGCTTATATATAGATATATATATTTATTTATTTGTGATTAAGCTCAGTATGTAGTAGGTGGCACAACGTGATTTAGTCAAACCAATATTAAACAATATAAACTATTAACCAATCATAAAATGAGGTCATTTTCGTCTATTTATGTGTAATTTAAAAATCAATTATTAGAATTCAAGAACATTAAATACTAGATTTATAGAAGATTCGATAGACCGCTTTTTGAAGTGCTTCAGCACAAAGTATAACTATGAAATGTAGAAATAGATTACTAGATCATTACAATCTTCTTCATTTCTTATCCATTATGAATACGGGAAATTTCGTATCACAAAGCATAGTCTACTTTTATCATTAAAGCATCGACAGGGAAATTGAACATTTGTATATATGTGCAACATAATGAATATATATTTAGATGATAGCACTGTGCCGATTTTTCACCGCCATCAGGTTAACATTCGTGTTTGGTTAACTATGACAAATTTTAAGTGAAATATTTTTCAGTATAAAGATTTGCGTAAAATATTGAATATTATTGATATCACGAACCGATCTGAGTCAGACTTTCATTGAGAAATAAGAGTCACTGGATAGCTCTTTCGTCACAGCATAAGACTTCCCGGTAGTGCTCATTCACGACTCTACCATCGGGGGTCGAACTTAGGCCTGTTCGTCCCACGCTCTAACACTTAACCTCCTGAAATTGCTGTGTGAAGGATGGTTCTGCTATGTTTGAAGAAATTACGAAATCACCTAAGATCGGTGAACGGAACGAAGGATCAGCAACACAATGAAAAGACAAGCTAAACTATTCCAATGCGTCTCAGCCCCGCTAACTAGAGTGAGAAGTCCAGGTTCAAGATGAGAAAAAGTGTATTCCATAAGCAGCCAGAAGCACAAACAACAATAAGCACACAACCCAAGCGTACATAAATAGCATAAAAATTTCTTTGGGAAATGTCACAAAACAGCACATCCAAAAACAACAAATTAAACAGAATAACGTGAATTCATTTTATTTTGTTAGACTCTAATCAGTTGCTTACAGCCTATAAATAATGTGTTAATGATTTTATGACAGGACAAAGGCTCATGAGTTATACTAGTGAACGTATCCGATTACATCACTTAAGTGAAGTTTATGCTAAACGACAATCTGAAATTTACGGTTGACAAATACAACAAAGACTTAACTGACTCAATAAAAAACGAGTTATGAACATATTCAGGGAGCTGTTGAGGAAGAAAATCATTGAAAAATTTCATTACAATGATCTAAGGCCTCTTGGATCTCGATTAAGGCATATGAATGGCCCACCAAAAATTCAAAAACGTTCCGTCCAGCTAATGGCTATTTTTTCAATGGTTAATTCATCATGCCATCTCGCTAGCTAGTGGAAAAGTTAGAACTAGTTCGTCAAAGCTTAACCTCCTGGTAAGTCGATGACTTCATTTGATGCAACATTTTTATTTAACAAAATATCGCTTCTTGAAACCATAGACATAATTTGCGAGCAATCGGACTTCCAACCCCTACAAGTATCAGAACTCAAACTCAAAAACTTATGTGTACAAAAGATGTTCAGTTTCAATTTGACAACATCATATACCATCAAACTGATCATATAGCAATGGGAAGTCCGCTTGGTTCTATCTTAAATCTGTTCAGAGCTAACCTTAGGAAGACTGAACTTAGAGGAGTGATCGAATTAATGGTTTATTATGAGAGGTGTGTTGAAGACACTTTTATTGTATGTAATGATTTACAAGTAAAATTGATTCTGAACCTTGCCAACGACGCACATAAAATATCCAGATTACTATCAGCACATTAAAAGAACGATAAATCCTACTTTCTCGGCGTTGCCTTACAACAGGAGAATGGTGTAGCTTAACGTTCAGTTTATCGAAAGGATAAATGGAATGGTGTTTATCTGAATTTTAACTGTTTCTGTCGAATTATTTACAAAAAGGCACTTATCAAAATGCTATTTCACAGAACGAAAAGGATATGTATTTGTTACATCTTTGATCTGTTTGTCCAATAATATACAGGATAGAACTTGTCTGGGTCTAGGTTAAGGCCTTGACACGAAAGGCTAACTGGTTTAACCCTGAAGCTAGAAAAGCGTGAGTCGAATTGGGACTAACGACCTTGGACAGAGAGACGAAAACTATTCTGTCATCTGATTGGTTAACAGGAGGGAAAGAAGACGAGTCAACTGGGACACTACTCGAATTATTCTTGATGTAGCCAAATATAAAAAGATATATGGATAAATAGATGACTATCACTATAACAACGCTCAAACAAGTTTTTTTTTAAATGTGTTTAAGCTAAGCGTTAGGGTAGAAAAAATCGAATACGAAAGGTTACGTTCAAATTACACTAACTTTGGAATAGAACGGCGTATGCATCAAACGGAAGTTTATGCTTTATAGAATCACCAGGATCAAAATGAAGTGCTAGTATCTTACTAACTTTGAATTAAGTGAAATAATGTTCCCCAAAACAGCTTACGTTGTTCGTCACGGCTTCTTTATTTCTCTGTTCACATTGGTACTGCGATACACTAGAAGCAGAATTAATAAACGATGAAGAATCCCTAATGAACAATGGATATCCAAAGAAATTAATTAAGAAATATGGGAAACATCAAGACAAAATGCTTCGAAAGATGGATTTAGATAAAAAACCTATTTTTATTCATCTTGAAGTCAAGGGTGATGATGTTGCACTGACAATAAATAGTACTGCCTAGAACATGTCCTGCAGCTAGTTGATTATCTTGTATAAAACAACAGGTTCTTTATTAAAATAAAAGATCGATAGGTACTTTCATGTTACCACCAACTGTGTATACAAATTTACATGTGGCTCTATGATGATAAGGATTATTTGAATTATAGTACAAATTAAGAATCCCAGAAATAACGCAATTGGATCAAGAAGTACTAGATAATCACGAACGGATGTACTGTATTCGGAATTCGAAATCAAGCATCCAACAAGTGCAAAGGAATCAGTAGTTCGTTCAAACACCACAGACTCCCAAAGCAGTTACATTAGTAGAACAGGAAGCAGGGCCTATATCCGATTTCAAAAACATACCCCAAACAACCTCAGGTCAATGGGAGAAAAGGCTACTTCGAAACATTTCCGTGGCATCAGGTTACTATACTGAAATCTTTCAGGATTAATAAAAGAACAGTCAAATTCCATTCTCCTCGAATTTGTAGAAGCCTTAATTACTTCCTTACGCCTGTTATCCCCTATGAAGGAGCATAGGGCACCCATCAGTTTTCTCCATCCAACTCTATCCTAGGCAATCCTTTCCAGTTCTTTTCAGTTACTGTTCATCCTTTTCATGTCTGCTTCCAATTCTCGGTACAGTGTATTTTCGGCCTTCCTCTTTTTCTTTTCCACTCTGAATTCTAACTTAGCACTTGCTTCGTGATGCACTGTGGCGATTTCCTCAATGTTTGTCCCATTCACTTTCAACATCCTTTTCGAATTTCCTCTCCAACTTGAAGCTGGTCTGTTCTCTCCTACAGTAGGCTATAACTGATGGTATCCGGTCAACGGACATTCAGTAACTTACGTAGGCAACTGCCTAGAAATACCTGGACGTTTTTGATGGTAGTTGTGGTAGTTCTCCGCTCTTCATCTTCATACAGTAGGAATATTCTGACGTTCGTATTGAAAAATCTCACTCTGATATTGGTCGACAGTTATTTTGAGTTCCATGTGTTCTTTAACTGTAGAAATGCAGCCCTTGCTTTGCACATCCTTGCCTTTACGTCTACATCACATCCCCCTTGTTCATCGATGATGCTGCTGACCAGGTACGTGAAAATTTCCACCTCTTCTAGAGCTTCTCCATCAAGTGTGATTGCGTTAGTATTTTCCGTGTTGTATTTGAGGATCTTGCTTTTTCCTTTGTGTATTTTGAGACTGCTGCTTCACTATTTTTCCAGGCATGCATTTGTCGATGCGTATGAGATACAAGGGTCAGGTCATTTATTACATGCTTCCTCGTACATATCGAGGTCTTCACAATCCAGTCGACCACCATGGGAAAGAGAAAGAGGGAGTAAGCAGCCTTGTCTGACACCAGTCGTCATTTGGAATGCATCTGTCAGCTATCCTTCATGCACGACTTTCCAATGTAGTCGTCGTGTGGATTCCGTATAGTGTTGACGATTTTCTCAGGTACACCATAGTGTCGAAGAAGTTTTCATAAATTCCTCCTATGCAGTCACCATCAAATGCTTCAAGATGAACTTATGTATCCAAATACAAATAGTTGCATATATTACCTTGTCATGGTGTCTTTATCTTCAATTTATTACATCATTCTTGGGATTTTTCCACTCTTATTTTAATTGTACCGCTTTTCAAAATTCCCAGTTTTATTTTAAACTGATTAGTCTCAAGTCATATTCTTCTTAATTGCCATCGATTTACGTTCAACTACATCATTACATAATCAGTTGACTGTTTTAGCCCCATGATCTCTTATTACTATGTCTGATGATCCGGAATCTTCTCTTACAGATTATATTTATTTACACCACTCTTTATGTCTTTAATTTCATCACATTTGTTCGAATTACTACCCCAATTTTTTCTATAAATATGCAGAATTTACGGTAATTTTGATTTTAAAATATTATAGCAGTTGATAAGAACCCAACGAAATAAAATAGATCCACGCTTTTCTGCTCAATTCGTTATTTTTGTATTCTTTAACATCTAATGGACTGGCCAAGTATGAGAATATCATGTGCCTGTGTTCATATATCACCAAACCTAATATAGTAATTTTTGCTGTTATTGTTCTATTCCCGTTTTCTTTTTTTAATTAATAAATTGATTGCTCTATGATGGTACTGAAAATGAGCCCTCGATGCACTATTGATACCTCAGCAGAATGTTTAATAAAAATAACTTGTTTCTAAATGATGTCCGATATTATTATTATCTTCGTGAAAAGTTTCTTCTGAAAACAATTTATGTATCATAACTTTCCAAACGATTTGACCTTATATCTCTGTATTTTACATGTAACATTTCTTTTCATATCAAGCTCACCATGTCTGTATGTTGACATGGATTCTATGACACAATTTGCTTACTTACTTATATGCCCGTCTCATGGTCAAATGGTAAGTGATATATGTTAATAAGCCTAGTTAATTACGCACCTATATATCCGTGTCTGGATCAGAGGGAAAATTGTATAAATGTCTATGCTTTATATAAATTACTATGTCTACCTTCGAAGTCCTATAGATAAGCGACTGAAGTTTGTAGATGTGACGATATCAGATTGGTTTCTGATTAGTGATTGAGATTTATTTTTCCCTTTCAGTTGATACTGTTACTAAATAATATAGACTGTATGAACTGCAGAGTTCCTCCTTGTATTATACATGAGACTCAATTCATATACTCAGTAAACCCAACACTAATGGAATACTATTCGACGCAAGAGAAAGGATAAAAGTAAAGGATGAGAATTTAATTCACTTCTAAAAACTTGACTTAAAATAGTATATCAATATACTTACATACGTAAGTAACTGAACATAGATTAGAAAAGTAGCATTGTCGTTGATACTTATCACATTCAACCTATCAAGTGAAAAATAATTAATCAAACATGGAAATGAAGATCATAGAGTAATCAACACCAATTCACTCCTGGTTGTCTCATCATTTCTTGCACACAAATTTTACTTTGTTGACTGTAACTGTTTCAGTAGACCTAATAATTATCTTAAGCTGCATGAAAATTATTAATCAACATTTCTGGATCCATGATTCAAGTACAGGTTCAAACGGTTTGCGGAGATTAATGTAATATCGATTATACGCGACTTGCTCAAGTAAAGCTATTATTTAGAATGCAACACTATGTCTACTGAATATGTTGTAAGTAGTATAAATGCAATTGATATAGGAATAATAAACGGAAGAGGAAATTACTTTATTTCAGTTTGCTCAATAAATCGCGAATAGTTCAGCAAACAGGTGTTCTTCTCAGAGTTTAGTCTCAAGGTAGTTCGTTCAATTCACAAGCATATCTCTCAGAATATACAATAATTCCATCACTAATAAACAGGGACTGTAGTGTGTGCTAGTTATGTCGACGGATATAAGTAATGTGTAACACCAATCGAAAGTAGGATGCCTGGCAGCAGAAGGCTAAGAAGACTGAATAGAAGAGAACGGGAACAGAGAGTGATTTGTATGAAAATAAATTAACAACAAATTTTGAGACCATAGAATGACATTTTACAATAACAAAATAAATTTGGTTGTCCCCACTTGTGTTCTTGTTCCCAACAGGTCTACCTCTATACAAAAACAGTCCTTTTCACTTTGATGGCTTCAATCTGATTAGTATGACAGCAGAATTCAAGGTGTGTTAAGCGTAATTATATCCAGAAATAAGGGACGATTACTGAACAACGATATGGATGTTCTCTTTAACAACATCCACTCTTAAACCTACACATGTAAAACATAGGTAGTTAATGATAAGAAATAATTATCTTAATGTTGAGATGATAGAAGGTTGAAATAACGGTTAGAAGTCCACAGTTTTAAGAAGCTGCTAACAGCGATAATGTGTTGTAATTTCGTTTGTACAATGGATAACTTACTTTAAATGTGAGAAATTTTTTGACGTAAATGAACCCCTCCCATTTCCCAACGAATTATTACTCAAAAAATCAATAGCCAAGTTATTATAATCATTATTATACAGAATATATTTTAAATTTGTTAAAGGAATTTGCCTGTCTTATCCCGGTTTATTCAATCAAACAAAGAACGTCATATTCTTTTACTTTATGTTCAACATTTCCCCAAGGCATAATTGCACATTCATATTCAGAGTTTACTTTTCCCACACACATCTCATTGTTTATGGAAGCACGAGCAACATATAATGGTAAACCATCAGTGGTTGTACCAGCCAATAAAGCACCAGCTGGGACCCTACCATCAGATGCTGGAATCCAATTGTATCTGACAAACAGTTAGCCAAATAAATAATAAAGAAGATTATTTTGAGTTGCAGATGAAAGAAAATATTAAAATGTATATACAGTTTGAAAACAAGCATTACTGAAGGGATTATTAAATGATTACTAGTAAGGGTTTCAGTTTTCTCGTTGGTGATGCTTAGGACTGGACATTAATCATTCTATTTTACAAAATGTCCATTCTATACCGACCACCTCGATATAAACATTTTATTTAATCTAGATGGATTGTGGGAATTAGTGAAATCAAGGACAGTCATCTCATCATATTTGGGACTAGTCAATTGTATGTACCTGCTTGACTCTCAGTGTTGTTGTTCGTATTGAAATGGCCATTAAGAAAGCGACAGTATGGATATGTCGATTCAATCTAAATAGGATGTATATATGTCAACAAGGACAAACCAAAATTCGGTCCCGAATATCAACAACGAGATAACTTAAACCCTCACTAATAAGGACATAAATACCATACTTGTTGAGAATGTTAATGACTAACTGGATTCACCAGCTTAAAGAATAATACGCTGACATTTGCGGTGAAAGGTACTGGGTTCAAGTCCCACTGGGATGAAGGTACATCTAGTAGACGAGTCCCAAACTGAGCAAAACACTCATCCTGGATTCCACTTATAGCCACAATTCATTTATTTTGACTAGAGATTATATTACCCGGGTTAATTCAAAAACATTTGTAATCAGTTTATCTTATAAGTACAGTACTTTCAATATCTTCAACGACTTAATAATGTGTGAATATGAAAGATATCCAGAATGTGTGAACATTCATGATGTGTTTAATCTTTTGAAGAAAACTAAATGTAATGACAAATCTGTGACATTGATCTTGAAGTACGGTCAAGTTCATGACATATACTTGAAAATTTAATGAAATTTTCGACAATTACTAATTATAAGAAATCTTTACAGTTTTTTTAACACTAAAACACTCAATTGTACAGGTTGCAGTATTTTCTCGATAGGAAAAACTGAAGTGTCAACGTTACGGAAAAATAAAAGCTCTTCATAAGATGAACGTATTAGAACTCAAACTGAATAAATATGTAAAAGTGGGGAGAACACACTTCATGAATGACACTATATTATCTTTATACAAGTGAACTTTTATAATATGCTCAGATCTGATCAAAAGAGTTGAACATACAACTGTTTAACTAGCGTAAACAGAATCCCACGAATAATAGTCTGGTTTATATAGATCATATATCATAAAAAAGGTTCAAATAAAATAAACAACTAACGAATCCCTAAAAGAAACAACAATTTTCATCTACTGTCCACAAAGATTATTTTATGTAAAATTTGCATTCCTTTTAGCTTAGCAAATGAGGTGAGTTTTGCTGAAGTATCAACCACCATTATAAAATAGATGCTCATAAAAATCCAAGTCAAATAATAACATTTAAGTTTTGAAACTAAGGGATATTTAGTTATATGTTAAGTAGATTGTTGATCAGAAAGTCAACTGCCTGAATAATCATGTTGCATCAAATATGATTAACATAAAACTGTGATTATTGTTTAGATAACTCAATACCACATCGAATTTTATTAAACTAATACAATGGTGGTCTAATGGTTAAGCGCCCGCGAGCGAGACTGATAAGTCCTGGGTTCGAATCTTGCGGGGGGCGGGATCGTGGATGCGCCTTGCTGACGAGCCCATACTAGGACGAAACGACCATCCAGTGCTTCCAGGTTTCCCATGGTATTCTAGCTTCAATTGACTCATGATTCCAACTATTGATAATACAATAGTATCAGTTTTGGTAATAGATTCATCAATATAAATAATAAATAGAAAGAAAATTCGATCTCATTGTGTCAAATAGCTTAGCAATGACTTCAGATTCGTCACATAGATGTACAGTTTAAAATAATGGTAGTACAGTAAAACCTTACGTTCCCTAAACCCACTTATATTTTATGAGTTTTGATAAGATGGTTATTTAAATTTATGATCTTATGTTATGATTTATAAATTATCCGAATTGAATTCGTAGTTAAATTCAATGATTCAAATATTATTTATGGAAACAGTTGCGTTACAAATTTTGTTGTTGCTTACAATGATTGATTTGGAAATACGTTTGTGTTACACAAAATTTCAAATTTACAAAGTCCATGTTCTTTTCCATCACAAGGTATAAAAGCTGCACCTATTCTAAGAGGCAATTTTCCTGGTATTACATGTCCATTTACTTCACCTCGAGCAACATAAATACGAGAATCTGCTTCGACTCCATTTGTTGGTTGATCTTTTCCTGCAGTAGCAGGTACCCAAGATAGATGAGATTGTCGAACATAAAATGGAGTAGTCATCTTAAAATCCAAAAAAAATCCATGGTACAAACGCATGTTATATAATTAATAATTATTATATAAAATTGTGATTCAAGAATATGATCCTTGGTTCATTTCTAAGTATGACCAAAACTGTTTTCCAAATAAGCAAATTCAAAACATTTTATTGAACGTTTATTAGAAATTTTATGCAAATGAATAATGAAGGAAAATCATTTCATTATTAATACCGGCTATGTTTATTTCATATCTATACATCAATGGGATCACCTACGAGGATTGAAGAAATTAGGTTAGATGACAGTCTATTCATAAAATGATAAGCGGAAGATAATCAGAAAAGGTTGGAAACAATATTCACTTGATTTCGAGAAACGGGTCGACGATTGATCTTTCATCATGAAAGTGACATATTCATGAATGGTTAAAAACGGGAAATTGGGTCGGGGCTTTAAACTATTCCAGTTCACATAGATAATCACAAAACAAGTGGCATATATCCATTTAAGAGGTATTTGCTTTCAGTGAGATCTTACTTGATCACTTGAAGTAATAAAATATATTGAACAGAAACTGTGTAAAGATAAGTTCTAGAGTAATAGAGCATTTAGTTTGCCACACCTGTTTAGACCATTCACTGATTAGCTAAGTAATGACTTTCATTTCTATTTATATGTGCAGGAATATCAATAAAAGGCGTCATTCCTTTCTAACCATCATCTTTTTTCATTCGGGCTACTGGTTAAGCATATGTATGGGAAGATTGCTTATTATTATGGGACACTGAAATTCACAACGGTGAATATTTATGAAGACAAGTGACAAAGGGATACGAGACGCCATAGATTTAAAAAGTAACATTGTCAAGAATCTCATCCTACACTCCATTTTGATTGCAAAATGCACGTCACGATGAATCACATATATTGTCAGTGTATAGGTAGTCGATACATATATCAGATTTAAAATCAACTAAAGAAGATAATAACTGATGTAAATATACGAAATATGTTAACGAATAAAATTACCGTTAAGTGATTAAGACGTAGATATCCCGTGATCCTGTGATTTCTTAAAACATCATGTTACATAGCTCCATTTTAAGTATAATCCGATTTTGTTAACAAAAAATGTCAGAAAATACACGTTTGTTTCAAAACGCCAACATATAAGAAATCATTGCAACTATCACCAGAATGAAGAAAATGTTGATCCGAAAAGTGTGTAAGGCTTGGTACTGTTCATACTTATTATGAATTTTGATGCTGTTTAAGTATGTTCTGCGATTAAGAGTTACGTAATTGAAAGATGGTCAAACTGTCTATTCTACACTGCCTGGCTATACAGACAAACTGATTAGATTAGTGGTTTATCAAATATGACCATTGTGAGTTATATGCCAACAGAAAATAGGGTAAAAATTAATAAACAGCACAAATTGTACACGCGTAACCACAGTGCAAACACATCTACCTCAGTTGAGGTTATGGCAACCAAATTGAGGTTTTTTAATATCGCGTGAATTCGTCGGTGTGACTGGACGAACTAAGTAGAACACTGAGCACATAGAAGCACTTACGTGTTCACTGCAAACAAACCACTGAAGAATGAGAATCAACTGGCATTATTCTAACCAAGTCAATACGAATTTCCCAGTCTCATCACGTGTAGAATAAATTCCACAAACAGACAAATACAGTGTGCAGTTATGTACTGAATGAAATGAGCAATCTATCACAATTACAAATATCCGTTATCGATGCATTCTAATTGAACCGATATCTCACTTTGAGATCTCAACACTTGTCCTATAAAATCACTCACCACGAAGTGTTTAAACATGTCACTTACACATTGACTCACAAATTACCATGACAATAATAAACATAGAGAGGAAAATGTAGACAACGTACATGAATAGAAGTAGTTTAGTGAATGAGAGAACGACCAAGTATGTCCACACACGTCCGATGATTTGTTGACAGAAAACAACTTGACCTATTTTATTCTTCTGTTATACACAATTACATTGGACATAGTGGACGACCAATCAATGAACTTATATGTATCATCCATCTCAGACAGATTCTGTCAATACAGCCACATTCAAAGTGTGACCTAGTACAGATAAACCAATCAGAGTGTGATGATGAGAATTCAAGGTAATTTACTTTTCTGTTGCTGTTATTATTATTATTATTATTGTTGTTGTTATTGTTGTTGAATTGTGGTTATTGTGTGTTTTAGTTATTTGTGAAGCCTGTCGACCAGTGATTTTCGTGATCAATATGTTTAGCAAACATTGGTTATTGGTCTCGTGTAGAATGTTAGGCGATGGTGTTTATCAATCGAAAGTGACAGTGTAAGAGCAGATTGAATTTAGTTGAATTGGCCATCTACGTAATCAGAGATTGTATGCATGTAACAAGTGTGATGTTTGTGTGTACGTGGAGATGAATAATTTCATTTTGAAACGAAATGCTGTTAAATAGGTGAATTCATGCAAGCGTTCATGTGTCGAATTTATCTTGATAAATTTGAGTGAATCGATGAGGAGTTGATTTTGAAACGGAGGATATCAACTATTTTTGGTCTGTGCCATTGAATATTTTGTACAAGATATGAGTGTGATTGTGAGTGTAGTTATCGAATTTTCTTTCACTCGACAATTTAAAGTAAATTGTGCATTGGAGATTGTTATTGGTAAACTAATGATAGATTTGTGATAATTGAATGAGTAGAAATTAGAGTTTGTGACTATTCCCGAATAATTTTGAAAGTCTCTTCTTCACAGAATAGATCAATAACCGAATTGAATGAAGATAATTCTGAAAGGAGATTATGCGTTAGTCTAAATGTTGAGGTGAAGCATGGCGAAATCTAAATCAGAATAGGTCTGATTTTATCGAAATTATGCCATTTAAGTCAAAATGGTTCTGTGTGATACAACATCATGAGTACTTGTGTGCCTAATAGTGATTGTGAGTGTGAAGTATGTGAATTTTATAATATGAAGAAATTCTATTGTTTTCTCACACCCTGAACACATAAACGTATTCAATTTCACATCTACTCCACATTACAAATTTCACACATGGTACACTCACCAGCATACACACAAATACTAACTAAATATTCTATTTTGTTCCCCTTCACCATTTAGATCAACACAGAATCTCTTATTCAAAATTGTCTCCATTCAATTCGGTTGTTGATCTACTCTGTGAAGAAGAGACTTTCAAAATTAGTCGTGAATGGTCAGGAATTCTAATATCACATTATTTTATGACTATACGATGAAGAGATTTCCTATTAACTATCTACTCTGATACTGATAGTTTAATTATTTACTGTATCGGTTAGGTCTGACTGAGTGTAGCATTCGTTGTGCACATTCATTACTCTTCGTCTTTTATTCGTTTCCTGTGAGAAGAGATCCTGCAACAAGATCGTGAATCGTAGCAGTTGAATCAGATTTCTATGTCTCTCACAATTCAGTCATTTTACAAATGCAGAATTTTCATTGATTTAGTACAATTATATTGATCAATGATATGAATATTTCACTTGAAGTATGTGACCTTGACTGATTGTTTGTTTTTTCACTTTGTGGTTTATTTTAACAATAGACTAATGATGAAACTAAATAAATTGGATTCATCAATAATGTGTTGTAGACGAGAAATATTCACAGATATTTTATGTTGAGTTAGTAAACTGTCAAGGTATTTCTATATCATTAACATATTTGTGTATATTGATTGACGTTATCTATCATGTTCAACTATCACCAAATTACGCTTTCATCTCCCGTTTCACGTTGACTGAACACTTATTGTGTGTTCTTCAAGTACTCATCATCACTTGATGCAACAACTATTCAATACAAACCTCAACATGATCATTAGAACAACTGATGAATACAGTGCTTATCCATACTCAAATGGAATAATCATGTGTGTTTTGATCTTGTAACTATGAGACATGTTGTCAGTCACTAACAATCAAATGGGATTCGTGAGACGATTCAGAACAGTTAGGGAATATGGAAGTATGGGAGTTTGTTTCTCGAGTCTCGTTCAGTTATGAATCTGTTCGTTGTTTCGATTTCAGGTTTAGAAAATTCATTGGAGATTGCCACACATTCATATCGAGTTTTCTTGTGAGCAACAAAATACAATGGGAATCAACATGATTCCAATGATCCAAATCTCACCGAACAGAACAGAACAGAAGTGGCTTCCAAAAGTGACTCGACTCACCGAATTTGTATAACGAAGCAACACTAGTGTGAGTGAGTTGATGAGACACAATGTGGATATGGTCTGACAGCTCTTGCAAATTGTTTGCACCCACATATCGACGATCTATGGATGATTAAACACGAGTTATTAGTACCATGTTTCACAAACCAGATCTTCTTACACAGTCAGTTGGATTTCTCTATGGAATTGAATTGCATTGATCAAATGTTGAGTATGTGTATTGGTGACTGAGTGAACATGTGTATTTGGTGTGAAGTTTGACAACGTGATGTGATGTGATGTGTTGTCGGTGGAAGGAATGGACAATTTGAGTGGTTAGGTTGATTGGAGAAAACGTTATTTTGGTGGATAACTAGCCGACAATCAGTCACGTCAGCTCAGTGAATCGTAGATTATATTATATATCTTGTTTACGTTCATGTTATCAATAAATTTGTCATATTGTAACATAATTTTAGAGACGTCATGAATTGTAGTTTCAATGTTTGCACATGCCAAATAGCATCAATTCTAACTAATGGGTCCTTTTCACTGAATACATTGTTTAGATAAACAGAATTGCGCTAAATTATCCAAAAGTACTCGAATGACACTTTCCAGTTTACAGGTCATTCTAATCCTAAATCATTTTATAATAGATGATTTACCAAAATGCTTGATATTCACGATCATCAAAACATTGGTAATGAGTTTTAAACTCGACAAATCCTTCAATGATATCCAAGACTGGTATGGGACTCGTCAGAAGTGTGCATCAACGTCCCTGGCAATCGGTAACCGAACACAGGA